ATTAGCTTACTACACAATTTTTTTTATAGGAATGAATAACTTGCCAGTTCAGTTTCCTTAGACTACTGAAAGAGGTGGCTTTAAGAACCACACTTCATTTTTTTTGTATTTTTCATTTTAACCATTACAAGATTTTTTTATAAATGTGAAAAAAATAAAATGTAATTGCAAAACTGGCATGCATTTAAAAGTGGTTGAATGGAGTTCTAATGAATTCCTAGATCAAAAAAAAATATATATATATAGTATGACATTCTTACCAATGGTTGTAGCTTCACTATCCTGAGCAGTACAAGATAAACTTTTGGAAGAGTTTCTTATAAATTAAGTGTCTTTGAAGAGAAGTTTTGTTTACTTCTTTTGTAGTTTATATATTCTCATACTATTTCCTAGACATGAACCTAAAAGTCAAAGCTGAATGAAAACATAAACTATTCAAAGCGAAAGCAGGCCTTTCTAATTAGAGAAAACTGGAGAAACCCTGGTTCGCACACATTTCACGTGACCAATTCTGCAAGGGCCGCAACCAACACTGACACCCTCTTGCTTTCCTCCCCGTGCTCTGGCTTCTCTACTGACTCACTGACCAAAGACACTGGCTCTCAAAGCTGACAGACAAATGCTCCCTTCCCTCCTTCTTCCATTCTCTGATCCTCCAACTGCCTCAAACAGTCCCTTAAACACTGGCCTCTATGACTAACCACCTTGTTAATGCTGCCCCTGCTCCTAGAGCACCCTTCTATCAAACACTACTAGATGAAGCCTTTGTCAGGCTCTGCCTTCTGGGGAAGCCATTCTAAGACAAAGTACATATTAGTAAGTAGGTTAATCAAGTACTGGCTAGCTATACTCTTAGGTGACTTGATTTAATGAAAAAATACACCCTTAAGAAACGTGGGTTTACTTTAAAAAAAAAACTCAAATGACTTGCTTTATCTTTCTTCAGAATACAAATATTGAATACTAACATCAAAAAATAAAAGGGCCATTTACTCTATAAATTACTCTTAAGATATTTTACTTTACCATTTCAATTCATGATTGCACTAGTTTTAAAACTTCTCAGCTAGGTTCATATCCAAATTCCACACTTAGAGTTCCATGACCTTAATCAAATTAAGTTACTTGGCATGTCTCAGTTTCATTATATAAATAAAAAACAGGGAAAATAACAGTACCTACCCCATAGTTTATCAATCCCACGTGGTTTTAGTTGCACATGCTAGAATTATCTTCTGAATGGATACAAACCATGGAAACCATCTCTTATTTTTAGAAGTTTACTAAATTCCTCTAAGATTTAAATGCTATATTACTTGGTTAACCCTGGAACCAAAGAATCACAAGCAAAATCAACAGACAAAATTTAATATATGCACACAGTTTCATATATAATGCAGCATCACACCATGTAGGGCATTTACTCTTATACATTCAGATATGTTTGAAACACTTCTTAAGGCTACAAAACTGAACATAGAAAAATAAACAGGAATATATTCAACACTTACAAAAAGTGATATGATAAAGAATATAAAGTACTATTTTCCTTTCAACACTTCAAAAGATATTTATATATACTTTTTTTACAAGTAACATCACAAATGATCACATCTTCACATGCTTTTAAAGTATTATTTGTACTCAGTGTAAGGCTATTATCATTTCTCATACTTAAATTTTTTTCTAGCTCTGTAACAATGCAATTTTAATCCATTCAAGTAAATTCAACCCAAAGTTGCCGTTTCCCAGCATTAAGACATGCACCCACCCCTTTTCTAGGATTTTCTGAAACTTATTTCAGGGGGAAAAAAAATCCCAATTAGTGGGAGAGTAAATGGCTGACACTAGTAGCAAAACCTTAGTTCTTTGAAACTGACATGCTGGAACTGAGCCATTATTAAGGTTTTAAACAAAAACAATAGCATTTAGACATTAAATAAGAAGCAAAATATAGTAAACAGAAATAGTGTAGCCAAATATGCATTCCCTTCAGCTACACTAAAATGGACCTTGCTTAGTACCCACAAGTGAAAGACTACAGTTCCCTCATCTAAAATTGAAGGTAAAATAAATGAGACAAATAAATATTGCTAGTTTCTAGGATGGCTGAATGTTTTCTAAACCAGAAATGGTTAGAAAGGAACTTTATTGCACCAAGTCGATCGTAAGCAAGTTTGCAGTTCACAGGCATTTTAATTCAACCTTGAGTTACAAAGGAAACATAATGCAAAAATATACAGAGTTTGCATCAACTAAGCTATTATCAGCATTGTGATTCGGGAAAACCTATTCCTGCCAGATCAAGGCAGGGTCTGAGCTCAGGTCAGCATGAAAATGAACATATGGGTTACCAGGGAACAGGAGGAGACTAACTACACAGATGCTACCTAGCATCCTGCTGCCAAGGAGTAGATGGAGCAAGACTTGAAGATTTGTCTGAGAGGAAATGAACTTGAGGCAGAAAAATACACACAATACTAAAAGGGACAAAAATCAAGTTCAGCAAAAGCCAAAAAAAGTGGGCTTTGGTCATTCTAAATATTTGTTCTTTAAAATGTCTATGATCCTAATAGTGAAGTTCCATAATTTCCAACTCAAAATACAAATGATTCTCACTGCTAAGCATTTGTTTTTCTTATACAGAAACATTATATCTTATGTCAACATACCATATGACTCTTAAAATGAAGGAAAACAAGCTTGCTTGGCCCTAGCTCGACCTCAGCATAAGGCAAAATCCCCTGAACTAATACATTTCAAACCTAAAGAAAAAAACAAAACTGACCTTCATGCAAAGGCTCATAATTTTAAAACTAATTATCAAAAGTCAGAGTTCTTTTATTCCAGAGGTCACTGAGTAAAGTACCATCTGCAAAGTTCTCTTTCTGAACTGTTTCCATTATGTCCTGGAGGTAAATGTGGGAAACAGGAGGCAAATCAGTATTTCCTTCAGGAACCAGAGAGTTTCTGTTACTCAACTGAGGTAAGACAGAGTGACAGTGAAGAAATAAACAATATCCTTTCCTATTCAATTTTTCAACATTTCCAGAAGAAACAGATGATCAAATCCCAGTCAATAAAAGGAAAGACACTAGAAGTAGCAATTTCTCTTGGGACTCCTGAGTTTAAACTTACATTAAACTTTTAAATCTGGTCATAATATCTAAAGGTGATTTTCATAAAAAATTATCAGGTTAATTTCATCTTACATAAAAAAGTATAAGCTGAGAGTGAAGGACCTGCTCATCTCATTCCATAACAACTACTGATGTTGAGAAAAAAATGGCTTAAGCAGTACCTTCCCCAATTGTTAGAAGGTGACAACAGAATCCTTTCAACAGGTTCTCTCAAGATGTTTTTTCTTTTCCACACAACCTTCTCAGTCTTTTACTTAGCACCATCATAAAATATTATCTTTCAAAGTGCTCTCTAAAATCCTATGTTACAAAACATCTAAATGCTAATCACTACTCAAATCAGCAGTTACACAGACATTAGGTAATTAAAACACAGAGGTAAAATAACCATTATTACAGTACAGTGGAGATTCACTGAGCCTAGCTGGCATCCCAAACATTCCTGTAAATTATCAGAGAACCCAGAAAACTCATCTGTTTCAGTTTGTCAAATTCAAGTGAATTGTTTTTGCTTTAAAAAAAAAAAATCAATTTTTGGCTAGGTGTATCATACATGGCATGCAAAGAGAAATTACTACTTTATTTGCATAGCACTCAAACTTCCTGATCAAAAGAGAACATAAAAAAGGGTAGATTTTCACATTAGTACTTACAAATGAGAAATACAAGCTACAGTTATTATACAGTGTAACACAGATGAATAAATACTGTGTTAATTCAGAGTCAAATCTCCAAATGAGAAGAGTGCAACATGCAAAGGGAACTTCTAGTGAAATACTGTGAAGACTGGAAGGAAGGCAGGATGAGACATTTTACCCAAAGGGTAACAAGCTATAAAATGCAAAGCAAAACCACTTTCTAGCAGCATCCTCTAGAAAATAACTAGAAGTCACAATCATCCTTTTTTGTACAACAGTTCCAGCTGTGACAAACTGACCATGCAAATGTAAAATGATGCACATAACCAATGGTGTAAAGAGAAAAACAAAACACAGCAACTCTATAGAAACCTGTCAAGCTAAAAATTAGCATTGTCTCTCAAAATATTTAAATCTGTCAGTGCATTAGTGTTAAAGTGGCATTAAAAAACTTCTGCAGTTTTAACAGATGCAGATTATTTTCAAAATGCATAGCATCTACATTTCTTTCGAGTAGGCACCATATTTACACCAGTGCTAAGAATTCTTGGTGGAAACAGCCATTTCATTAGATTTCCTATTATTTCTTAAACATATGTTCTTGTATGCGATTTCTAGTTCAACAAATACTCACCAAAATTCAAAAATATACCCTATTAATATTAAAAGAACTATATACAACATTCCTAGGACACAGGTTAATAGGCTGCCTTATGTGTAATATTAAAAAGAAGACATTGTTCAAGTTTGACAGATATTGAGATGAAAGGCCTTTGGGTTGGAAGCATTTCAAAAGACAACAGTGTTTTAGCCTAAGAACTGTTTGAGCCCAGTTTATGACTAAGGCATTGCATAATAAAATATACATTTTCTATTTGGTGCAATGTTATGTTTTGGAATCTATCATGTGTCAAATGGTATATTTTCTTATCACTTTAGTAAACACTATAAAGCACACATTTTCAACATTTGAAATCAAACATATAAGGAAAAAAAAACACTAAATCTATAATGTTTTATATTAAGCTGTTTATAAAAAATACTTTAACAAACTTATTTTCTACTTTTTATGGGGGCAGACACCCGATAAATAAACAGATTTTGAACAAAGGAAAATGGCAACGCCAAGAATTCACCTGCCCCCTTGAACACACATCCAAAATCTCTTGTCCTGGACAGAAGTGAGGGTAAAGGGGGAGGGGAGGAGATAGTTCCAATTTGAGTTTTTTTAAATGTATTTTTAAAAAGCCTTCAGAAACATTCCACCTAAGAAAAGGTTTCTGCTCTAACGTGCTGCAGTGACAGCCATCAAGAGTGCTGTCCCCGATGGCCATCTCCCATCCCCGACCTCCTCCTATCCCCCCTGTAGGGCCGCCCTCTGCCATTTCGATGGTACTGATAACCTTCATCTCGGCTTCTGCTTGGCTGCCCTTTCCAGGACTCCTCACCTCTTGCGTGTTGATATCCTCCCCTACCAGAATAGCTCCAATCGCTTTTGTACTTCCTGCCTCCATACATCTGATTATAGAACTGCTTGGATCTACCACTTCGCAGAATATTAGACACTTCATTCTCATCTTCTGAACTCTCTTCTTTTGGTCTTTGCAGTCTGCTATCCACAGAGTTGGCCCCACTGACCACATCAGCAGCAGTCTTAGGGTCTTTCACTTTTTCTGGTTTTTCTTTTAGACTTGGAATGGTCCTTTTAGGCTCAAGTTCAACAGGCACAGTTTCTCTCTCTCTGTTTAGATCCTGAGTGGGAGGATGAGCCTTTCCCTCTGCTACTGGCGGGATGGAAGCCAATGCCAGGTCTGCCTTAGGTGTCTGGGATGACTGCTCTGCCAGGCCTTCACTCTCACTCACACTTACTTCAGGGAGAGAATGTTGTGCGTCTTCACATCTGGCCTCCTGAAACTCTACTCCTGAAGCTGAACCACCTTGTTTAGACAAAGCCAGATTTTCCAGGGGTACATCCAATTCTCCTTTCTCATCAGAAGGCAGAACAATATTCTGCCTCATTACTGGACTTTCTATGAATCCCTGAAAAGGGTACCCATACCAAACATGAGGAAAGAAAGGAGGTGCAATGGGAACTGGGCCTAAGAACGGATTGGGTCCAAAGGATGGTTGTGGGAACATATTCTTGCCACTTAGTGACTCTTCATATTCAGCATGAAGAAGATGCCCAGAGTTTTCAGATTCAAGATCAGCCTGGTAAGACAACTGTCCATGACTTTCAGACACCTGAGATGGAGAGATAACCAGAGGTGAAGAAAATGCCGGCGGTCCAATCTCTGCCTGTGGCATTTGACCATTAACACTGGCCTCAGTATGCACAGGAAAGTGTGCATCAGTACAGGTACAATCACTTTCATTCTGAGCAGGAGCTTCTTGGAACCAAGGATTTTGAGGATACACAGGTACAGGGACCTTTGGGTACATCCTACAGGCTGCCAGGTAGGCTTGGTGCAGAGGATACAGGTAAGAATGTGGGGCCCACATAGGACAACTATATGCCTGAAAGAGAGAGAGAGAGAGAGAGAGAGAGAAAAGTTAGAAAGATAAACAAAAAGGTAGTTAAAAACAGAACTTTAGAGTGGGCTCAAGATAAGTTTCTTATACCTACAGAGATCATATTCTCTGCAGTCCAAGCATGACATCACTGAGTCTCAGCATGGGAAAGAATCAAAAATCAAATCACTGCTCTAAAACTCTATTCCTTGTCCTACCCTGAAACCAACCCAAAATCCTGTACAGATGTTGACAGATGACAATATAATGGACCTATCCACAGATTACCATGACCATTATTAATTCCATCCTTTGGATACAACTGCGTAGAAATATTTATGGGTGACACATATCTCAAAAACGACCAACGGCAAGCACTTGAGCCTCCAGCTCAATCACTGGCTATTTAGCTGAACCTGCATTTGTATTTTGGTTCTACTACTAGCTCATTGTGTGACCCCATGTCAATGAAATAACTGGTCTGGACCTGTTCTAACTGAAAAATGCTGGCAAAGGAGTAGGTGACCCCCAAGGTTAGGACTCCACAGCTCTAGGAGACCCCAGAGCACTGTGCCAAGATAAAAGTTAAGACTCCTAATCAGAGAAGGATAATACTAAATGAAGTCTACCAAATCCTTTCCCTACAAAGGATTAGCAAAAGACCGAAACACACACACACACACACACACACACACACACAATTTACCACTTAAATGGCTAATTTAGCTGAAGCCAACATTAACCAGATAAATATAAAATTAGGGAAGAAATGTAGTAGATGGTAAAATTAACCAAGCCTCCCTTTATGAACTGGTCAGTAGGGCACTTCAATTCATATTTTAACAGTCTAGTCCCCTCAGAACCCAATGCAAGACAGGAGACAAAACAGCACTGACAAGAACCTAGAGTTCTCCAGCCTCTCTTTCTAAGACAAGTTATTTTTTTGCTGACCACTTCCCAAAAGACACCTCTAACTCCACTAGTGAACAAAATGCCACCTTCCATAGGAGTACATTTACTTGGTATTTTCTTTGATCCTTTCAACTGAAGCAGGTGGGAAAATGCTATCTCCATTCCATAAACAGAAAAGCCTGGGCTCAAATATATTAAATGACTTGTCCAAGGCTATCCAGGTAAAAAGTGATAGAACAGAACTTCAAACTCTGATGGTTCAATTAATCCCTCTCAGTGAGGGCATTTCCACTAGGCCACCCAGGGACAGGGCCACCTTCTGAATACACTCACAGGGTTAAATCACTGGCCAATATAAGGAAAAGCAAACAAAAATTGGAACCTCAAACACCAATAAAAGGAAACATCAGTAACACAGTACTGAAAATACTAGTTCTTAAAATAATGAGATTTAGTAAACCATAGGTTATTAACTCACAGAATAAATAGTAAAAATTTAAAAAGAACTTTAAAATGATAAAATGTAAATACCTTTACACCAAGATTAAAGAAGAATCGAAGAATGTTCTTATCTGAAAATAAATAAAATAACCACTCACTATAATTATACATTTAAAAGCTTTTTAAAATTATTTTCAAACAATATGTAGCTCTAAAAACAATTTTGCCTGCTGGAATTGATTTCTCTAGCCTATGATATAAAACATGGATAAAACTGTAATATAACCAAAACCAGGCCCTGTTTCTATAGGGTAATTCCAGGTTCAATATATTTTGTCTATGCTAAGCTAACATCTAAGTCCCAAAATACCTTCAATTGAGATTTTTATCTGATTTAAATTATATCTGTGTGAAGGGAACTCAGGTGATCACGGTATTTCTTTTCAACTTCTCTGTGGGGTTTAAAATATTATGAAATAAAAATGTTGGGGGTTAAAGATAAAATCAACATAGATCTAACTCATTACTATTATAAGATTAATAGGATAATATCAGCTAAGGTATTCATTTCACATTAGCCAACTACCCATAGACTTAAACATCAAGCCACTGACTATTAACACAAAATTACCCACAAAAATCCAGGTAAAAAGCATACAGACAGTCATTGCATTACTGTTTCTACAATTAGAAAATTTAAAGAAAAGGGGACAGGTAAATTTAAAAATAACTTTTTAAAATACATATTGTTGCATGTAGTACTATAATGACAGCTATTATGTATTATATTTATTTCCTGTAACTTTTTCATGAAGCAATGAGTAGCGGTGAGAAAATTCAGTAAATGTTTAGTTATCTAGTTATTAACATTATTAAGATTTCATTCAAAATGTTTTTAGGCTGTTTTTTAAAAAGTGACAGGGGAACTGGGATACAGCTACTAAACATACAAAAAATAAGAACCCAATCAAACAAAAGCTGAAATAGCAAGTGAGTGACTAACAGTCAGGTCTCTGCTGTCCTTCTTATGGAAGTCTTTGGGCTAACTTGGCAACATGACCTCTGACCTCTACTTACACCTCTCATTGAACCTGTATCAGTAATTGACAAATAAAATCAGTTTGAATTTGGAGAAGAATCTCACCTTTAGGCAGGTCCTCCCCGGTGTGACACAGTGAATAGGGTGGTGCAATGGCTCGATCTCCCTTTTCATTACAAGGAAACCCAGGATAGAGTGGGTCTTGGTAAAGGCTCAGTGTCTGAGGCAAAGGCATCAAGGGCTGGTTAACTGCCTGTATTGACACAGGAACTGGAGAGGGTGTTAAATGAGCTTGAGACACAGCAGAATCTGGTCCAGTGGTCAGAGTCTGTGTCACTGATAAAACAGGGATTTGAGTAGGGACACCTACAAAAGAAAGGAAAAGGAAATTAAAAACTATAAAAGGGTGAAAATAATTCTGTACAAATGACATACCTATTTTAAAAATACATACTTAAGCACCCAGCCGGTATGGCTCAGTAGTTGAGCATCGATCGACCCATGCACCAAGAGGTCACTGGTTCAATTCCCAGTCAGGGCACATGCCCAGATTGTGGGCCAAGTCCCCAGTGGGGGGCATGCAGGAGGAGGTCAAGCGATGTTCTCTCTCATCAATGTTTGTCTCTCTCTCCCTCCCCCTTCCTCTCTAAAATCAATAAAGAAAAAAAATTTTTTCATGAAAAGTATATACTTAAGCAATATAAAAAAAACTTTTTATATCAACCAAGGACCCTCCTGGATACACAGGAGAAAATAAACCCAGGAAATAAGCTTTGCATCACCGTCATCTAATAGTAGCTCTTACAAACATACATAGGCAAAGCCTGGCAAAGCATTCAATGGGGGTCATAAAGAGTTGGTCCATGGGGAATGCAAACTGTGGTATCAGTGCCGAGCAACCAAAGCAACCAGTGGAGATAACCAGCTCGCTCAAACATCTTCCTCCTGGGATGTTGAAGGCATATCTCAAATGAATTCCAAATAAACGAGCCTCTCCCCACCTCCCCAACTGGAAACAGAGCAAAGTGGAGGACCACAAAAAGCTCTGTGAGGCTCCACACACCTAACCCTACTCTGAGGTCAAGCTGTCACTCGAAAATCTGAAGTCTCTGACTTGGAAGGCTTGTGTTGGATGGTTCATTGGATTTTTAAAATTCTTATCTAACCTGTTGGTCCAAAAGATGCAGGTTCACTTGGCCAGGATGGCACAGTGGCTGGTAAAGAAGGCACCGCAGGAGTTAGATGTACCTCTGGAGAAACCAGAAGGGGAGCTGGATTTGACAAAGACACATGTTCTGCTGGCTTCTTCAAGAAGAGCGCGTGGAAAAAGAGAAGAGTTCATTTTAACTACCAAATGTACCCTGAGATGCCTACCTTTTATACAAATGAAACTTCTACATAAATGGTCTTTCTGATCTTAGAAATGAAAGGAAAAAAGCACAATAGCTAAAAATTCCACACAAACAAATTTGATCCTACCCAGGGACTGCCTGCCAAAAGTCAAAGAAGTCATTGGCAGAGTAGAAACAAATTCTAAAGCATTGAACACAATGCTTTTAAGGCAAGGAAGCAAAATGATTGAAATCACTTTGAAATTCATGAGTTAACTTAGAACAGTTACTCACACAAAGACATGCCACAAAACTATGCTTTCTAAGTGACATAAGGACGTTAACTGGAAGGCAAGGACTAACCTTTGTCTACTCCTGTATTAGATCAAGAATCAAAATGCCTGCTTGAACTTAGGTTCCTTCCTCGTTCAATTTGAAAGCTCATGGTATTGTTCTTTAAACGCATATTCTTCTAACCTCTTTATTACAGTATAATCATTACATTCCCTACCTTCTATGAAATCATTGTTAAGAATGCAAACAATTCAAGTTTTTAAATGAAGCACAAATTCTTAATTTCCCTTTAAAAAACAAATTTTCAAGCCAACCCACCAAATATAAACTTATTCAAAATCAATTCAGAAGAATGACTTCTATGTCCAAAAATATAGTTAATATAAAAATAACACCCCATAAAAACCGAGAACATTCTAAGCAAAATTATAAAAAATCCTAACTGTATCCAAATTATGATGCTAAAATATATCCTCCCATTTCCTATACAGATGTTTCCTGTGTTTAAATGATCACATACAGAGCTAAGAAACCCAGAGAATGGAGTCTTCCATGTCAGATGCAATAATGCACTTACTTGTTCTGCAGGAGGTGGGCACTCTAATTTCTTTGACTTTGATGGTGATAAAATTCTTGCACATTTATCATCGCTAATATTCTTTGAAAGAAAAAAAAGCATAATTTTGTATTTTAAAGACCCACATTCTAGTATCATGATGGTTGCCTTCATAGTTCACCCTACCTGCACCTGACTAAACCCTCTTGGCAAATTTTTTTTCAATTACATCTGGTCTTCAACAGATATGATAAAGATGTGCAGGCAAAGTTATTTATCAAACTACTGGGACATTTTTATTGGAGACATTGTTTCAAAGAGCACACTCTTCCTTTAAAAGTCTCAATCTACTGCCCCAGCCAGGTGGCTCAGGTGGTTGGAACGTCATCCCGTACACCAAAAAGATTGCAGGTTTAATTGCTGATCAAGGCACATACCTAGGTTACGTGTTTGATCCCCAGTCAAGGCACAAATAGGAGGCAGCCAAATGATATTCCCCACCCCACAGCCCTTTCCTCTCTCTTTAAAATCAGTGAACATATCCTCGGGAAGGGATTAAAAAAAAGAAATCTCAATCTACTGTAGAGTATTAAAAAGTAAAAGCTACTTTCCACCAAGTCAGATAGGTCATCATATTGCACTCTTGAAGAAATGGTTACAATCTGAATGAATTCTCCTGGAGCACTACCATCTTTTCTTTACTCTTCTACTTTCCTAACAGTTATCAAATGAAGTCATCTTCTCCTTATGCTTCTTCTTGCTATATTATTACAGTGTTAAGGAAAAAGAAAAGATGCAATTAGTATTTATAACATTTACCTCTGATGTGCTTGGCCCAGGTTTTTTATCCAGGTGAGTATGTCCATGGCTAGCATCTGTAACAGATCAAGATAAAAAAAAGAGCATCAGACACTAGATCTGAAGACAGAAAAACAAAATATGAAGATAGCAAAAGCCAAAAGTACTATTTGCATCATGTTTAGTCAGTGAAAATAGTTTTCAGAATGACATTTAACATGAGCTTTAGACTGAGTCAGTTCTCTGCAACAGTGAGATATATGACATTAAATTGCTTAATGATTTTAAAATGGTTCTTTTCCCAATGGATGACTTTAAACCAGCACAGATCTCTAGCATCTGCTTTCAAATGATGAAATAACGTACCTTTATCTTTCCGTTCCTCAGTGTCCATTCTCCGCCTGCTTCCTTTCCTGTCACTCACGTGAGACCCCTTTCTCTGGACGCATGGGTTGCTGCTCTGAGAAGATGACTGACTGGCTGCTGAGCTCTTCAAATGAACAAAACCCAACCGTTGTGTTAAAGATTGACCCATAAATATACTCTTTGTACATCTGACTGAAAGTCTCAAAATTCATAGCCCTGTCTTCATACTTCCATACTTAAAAAAAAAAATAGGACCTAATGCTCATATTTACTTATATACTATACTCTACAGTTATAGGCTTACCAGTAAGTCAAAGTACTAGGTAATCAGACCTTTGGCCTAAATTATTAGTAATACTTCTTCATATCCTGGTTTCAGGAAGCCGCTCTGACCAAACTTTCACCTTGCAACTTACACTTCCATTCTCTGCACAAAGAACAGCATACCAATGTTCAAAATCAGCCATTGTAGAGCCACAGTCCTTAGTGGGGAAAACACCCAAGTGCAAATTAGCAGATACAGTGCACTAGAATTGTTGCCACTGAAATGCTACTGACCCTCAGCAAATGATATAAGCTCTTTATGAGATCTAACCTTCTAATTGGTGTAACAAAGGGACTGGAATAAGTCAGGTTTTTTTGTTTTTGTTTTTGCTTTTTATCCTCACCTGAGGACATTTTTTGGTATTTTGTTCAGATAGAGTGGGAGGGAGAGAAAGAGAAACATCGATGAGAAAGGGACACATTGAGTAGCTGCCACCCGCAATACCCAACCAGGGCCGGGAACAAACTGCAACTGAGGTACGAGGTACGTGCCCTTAGCGGGAACCGAATACGGGTCTCTCGGGACCGCAGGCTGACGCTCTAACCGCTGAGCCAAACCGGCCAGGGCAGTAAGTCAGGTTTTTAAACTAAATTATCACTGAAGAGTGGCTGTTCCAGCAGTCTCTGAGCAAATGTTGCACAGAGTTGAGAAGAGGATCTCAGCCCTCTGCGGCAGTTTGCTAGAGACTAGACAGGATTCAAACTCCCTAAACTGAAAGTGATCAGTATGACTTTATTTTAACAATAAAAAAATTCCACAATCTATTCCCACATTATAGTAGTTGTATTCTTACCATTCGCTAACTGATAAAGGACAAAAAGTTATGAGTACAAGCCTAGGTGACTTGTGCTTTTTTATTACCTAAATATCATGGGAAAACATTATTATATAATGATAAATATATCTAACATACAGACCATGTCAATTTCACATATGAATTTGGGCACTTCTTTTAATAATTCCTAAGCTCCCACCCCATCCGTGCCAAACTGAACTATTATTCCAGAGGTGCTGTTTTCAACTGAGCATTTGACACCCCCATTAAAAGATTCCAGAGGCCAGTGGACAGAGAATTGAATGTGAGGGGCATTATTTAATGTTTTACATTGGTACAGTGGGAAGCCCTCCTGTAACATTTCATTTTGTTTAATTCATGGTTGAGAAAGTGTCCAACCACCATTCTGGACCACAGATCATTTGGTACCACTTACTAGTAATTAAAAGACCATAGTTGCAGGGTTCCCAGTGCCCCAAACTGAATCATGTTCCCCTATCCTGCCAATGAACCCTCTTCTCAGAACATTTACTTCATTCTACATGAGAAACTGTTTTCCCTTCTGAATGCACCAAAAGAATTAAGAAACCTAAAGTTAGAGAACATCTGTTTCATCAGAGAAGCATCCACCACAGCCCAGCATCTGACACACAGCTAGGGAACAACACCAGATTACATGTACTACTGCCTGAACAGCAAACACTGAACAACAGCTCTTACAGTACCTACTGTTAGGCGCTGGTGAGTTTAACAAGAATGCTAAAAAGACTTTCTGAATTTTATAGATGTATCTTGTAAATTGAATACAGGTGTATTTTGTTACTTAGGCTAGCAACATGTTTTATTTCAAAATACTAACCTAGAAGCGAGTTGGTGTCAGAAAAGACGTGAAAAGAAGGAGCAATTACTTGATCTTTAAGGTACCCTTCAGTTTATTATTATTTTTAATCCTCACCCAATTGATATTTAGAGAGGGGGAAGAAAAAGGGAGAGAAAGAGAAACATCGATGTGAGAGAGACACATCAATCAGTTGCTTCCCAAATGCGCCCAACCAGGGCTGGGGATCGAAGCAGCAACCAAGGCATGTGCCCTGACAGGGAAGCGAACCCGAGATATTTCAGTATATGGGATGACGCCCCAACCAACTGAGCCACACCACCCAGGGCAAGGTACCCTTCAGTTTAAAAATTATTTTTCTAGCATTAGAAACTGTGGTTTAGCCCTGGCCAGTGTGACTCAGTGGTTAGAATATCAGCTCACACACTGAAAGGTCATGGATTCAATCCCTGATCAAGGGCACATGCCTGGGCTGGATTGTAGGTTCAATCCCTGGCCCATCAGGGCACGTGCAAGAGGCAACCAATCAATGTGTCTCTCTCACATCAATGTCTCTCTCTTTCTCCCTCTCCTCCCTCCCTCCCACTCTCTCTAAAAATCAGTGGAAAAAAATATCCTTGGGTGAGGATTAACCAAAAAAATAGAAACAAACTATGGTTTAATATAAAAACCACAGCTGACCCTTGAACAACAGGGGTTAGGAGTGTAAACCCCTCTCTCGCAGCTGAAAATCTTTGTATAACTTTAACTCCCCAAAATCTTAGCTATAGGCAGGCATCCCTTGGTATTCACAAGGGATTTGTTTCAGGACCATAAACAGATACCAAAATCTGTGGATGCTGAAGTCCCTCATATAAAATGACATAAAAGAATACATATAGGCAGCCCTCCACATCCATAGATTCTGTGGTTGATGAATCTGCAGATGTGAAACCCAAGGAATTTAGAGGACCGACTGTACTTATTGAAAAAAAATCTAAATCAGTGGACCCACACAGTTCAAGTTCAAGCCCGTGTTGTTCAAGGGTCAACTGTATATTAAGGAGAGATTTCTAACCAATTATACATACAGAAAGGGCTGGGAAAGCATGTTCATCTCGGTTTTGAATCTCATAAAGTAATCGAGATTCTTCTATAGCTTGCTTCTCTCTGCGCTCTTCTGGGGAGAGGCCAAAATAGTTAGAGTCTCGACTCGCATGATCAAAATCCTCAGCTCTCTCACGATCAGGTTTTCTGTGAAATAAAACATTCTTGTCACAAAAAAGAAGATAAATGCACTGAATATCTAAAATAAAATAATCTGTTAAATACAAATATTTGACTAACTTAGCTACACCATAACTTACAGAACTTTTGGCAACCTGATTAATGTTTAGCAAATGGAATCTCCTACAGCAGTGGTTCTCAACCTTCCTAATGCCGCGACCCTTTAATACAGTTCCTCATGGTGTGGTAACCCCCAACCATAAAATTATTGTCATTGCTACTTCATAACTGTAATTTTGCTACTGTTGTGTCTTAGGTGACTCCTGTGGAAGGGTCGTTCGACCACCAAAGGGGTCGCGACCCACAGGTTGAGAACTGCTGTCCTATAGCATCATGCACACTACATTAGAGTCAAGAGACAAACTTACAATAAGGAAAGGGAGAAAAAAAGAAAAGAAAAAAGTGAGACAGCATATATTTCTTTACTCCACATTCTAATAATACTTGAGCAAGAATTCACTTTCAAAAGAAAGGAACGTACTAGTTTATGTCTCAAAAGCATTCTAATTTACTGTTCTAAATAAAGGGCAATGTTCAGAGGAGTCACCAGGCCCATCTTCCTGCTTTATGATGGCACCAACAAGGGAGATGTAAAGCAAGAAATATTACAATGTGCCAAGCTAGATTCTAACTGCACAGATAAGACTTGTCATCTCAATATAGTTTTGGTCAAAAAAGGATGACAAAAAATTCATGAACAGAATTTAGTAGCCTGTAACACAATCCTGATGCTTTTATTATATCCTGTAACTATTACAGGAGACATGAATACTATTTCTACTGTGTCTAACAGTTTCACAACAGTGGAAAAATATGATGTCACACTATGAACATATAATCTTCCTGAAAAAAGTGAAGGACACAGATACCATATAATTTTTTTTTACATCCAAAATAACGAATAGCCAGTTTATGTCCTCAAATAGTCCCACTTAAAATCACGCCCTGTTTCCAACAGGCCAGATGTCAACCCTAAAGGTAATGGGGAAAAAAAGCGGAGGAGCAAACTGGATATTCGTAATCTTAGACCAATTCTTCTCAAACTCCAGTGGTGGAAGACTCCAAAGACTCAGCAAATGCCAGGGGTCTCTGGAAAGTTAACACAACTTCAGACCACGTCCATCCTATCCTCACCCACCACACGGAGAACCAAATCCTTCCTATTTGCACCCAGCTGAAGGAGAGATATTCAGCAATGACATCACTATCATTTTTAGCATTCATATAATGAAACCACACATGGCAATCCTGCTTGTTTTTTATTACACTGTTTCATTTTTTTCCAGAGGAAGAGACGAATGAGGAAGAAATGAAAAGTGAGAGGCCATGAAAGTCTCATGCCCAACAGTACGGTTCTTTTATTCTGTAACTAGAATTCAAAACTGTTGTGTTAAATATTAGAAAGATCAACTCTAATGAACTTAAATCAAGTCGACTATTAACTATAAAATTCTAAACTCAGACTTAGTTTTTTAAAAAATCTACTTGAAATATTTGATCATCAGCAGTTTTTAAATTTGTTTTAATATACTAGTAAAATCCACCCTCACATAGATAGTGGAGAAGGCATACTAATTGCAAATACAACTAGGTTCCTGTGTAATCAGTCCCAATATCAGAAATTCTCAAAAGCTTCATGTCTATGCATTTACCCACCACCTTCTGCCATCTAGTGTTTCATGTTCCAAGTAACATACAGCTAACACTTAAAACAGAAACTGACCCTAAGGCGGCAGAGACATTTCACATCTGTCTGATCATTCTAATAATTCCTAGGAGATTGGATTAACAGCAGAAATGCACTGGATATCAATTCAGTTTGTGGTAAATAAAAGTATATTTAAAGTAGCCATTTAGTAGCCTATGTGTATTTTCTTTTTTAATCTTTAACTCTGAAAAGTACCCTTATGTTCAAGGGGAAAAAATGCTTCTTTTCCAGTCTATTAAAAAGATAAAATTCATTTTTGCCTATGACCTTCCTATGTTTACTTTACCTTTTTAGCTTTCCAAAGTCTATATTCAAAAGAAGTCAGATCTCTTAGGTACTTTGCCTGCATTGAGTAAGATGCCACCAGATGCTAGTAGAGTCTAGTCAATACCCAAACAACAGGTTCCAGACATAATTAGTTGATTAATGGCAGAAATTCTGTCTGCTGGGAAAAGTCACCATGGGCCCAGAATGTCGCTGAACACCAATGACTGTGGGCAACAGCAGAAGTAGGAGAGAGGCACGGAACAGATTCTCCCCTGCAGCCTTCAAGGGCAGCATGACCCTACTGACAACTTGATATCAGACTTCAAGCCTCCAGAACTTTTTTTTTCTTAAAATCCTCACCCAAGCATATTTTTCCATTTATCTTCAGATAGAAAGGGAGGGAGGGAGGGAGGAAGGGAGGGAGGGAGGGAGGGAGGAGTGGGGGAGGGGAGGAGGAGAGAGAGAGAAAGAGAGAAAGAAACAGTAATGTGAGAGAAACACATCGACTGGCTGCCTCTTGCATGACCCCGACCTGGGCCAAGAACCAAACCACAACTGAGGTACATGCCCTTGACCAGCATCAAACCCTGGACTCCTTGGTTTGCTCTAATCGCTGAGCCAAACCAGCCAGGGCTAGCCTCCAGAAGTTTAATATATTTCTGTCGTTTTAGGCCACCCAGGAAACTAATACAGTATTGGTAACATGTAAGCCTAATCACCTACAATAGTCTTGATGATATTATGTTACTCATAAACAATATTTAATGACAAAATGTTAAGTACATCCCAAAAAAGGGAAATACCCAAATGCCAGAAATAAAGAAACTAAAGACCAGAGCTTGGCAACCACATAAGCTAATGCTACAGCTGTTCAGACAACTGGGGAGAGAAAGGCGTTGGTCACAGTAACCTAGGAGGGCCCCCGTGCCCAGAGACATGGCCACATTTTCATGGAAAGGACAGCCTCCACTTAAGACACACCCTCTCAAATAAAGTCCTTCAAAGGGTTATAAATTACTATGGAAGCGCAGATAAGGAAAAAAATAAAATCCATAGCACAGGAAATTATGACACTGAAGTTCATCTGTGTCTGGATATTTGGTCAGAATGCTGATAATCATGGTTACATGAACCTAAAACTTATAGTCCCGTTTGCTATCAGACACATTACCACAAACTTATCAGAGCAAAGTAAACCATAACCATTTTGGCCGATTCAAGTTCCTATATAAAGGAAAACATCCTCACCCTCCAAGGAATTAGAAATGCAATCTGGAATTCAGCATTTAACGTATTAGAAGCTACCAGAAAACGATTAAGTGCCAGAATAAGATCTGGCTAGGATAAGATCTCCCAAATCTTTTGGGGGAAAAAAAAACTATTCAAAAATAAAGATGACTTACCCTTCAAAGTTACTTTGATTTCTTTAAAGAGAACTATGAAGGACTAAAATCCTCATATAGTATTTTATCAACAATACTTTTAGCCTGGCCAGTGTGGCTCAGCGGTTGAGCATCGACCCATGCACCAAGAGGTCGCTGGTTCGATTTCCAGTCAGGACACATGCCCAGGTTGTGGGCCCGATCCCCAGTGGGGGGCATGCAGGAGGCAGCCCATCGATGTTCTCTCTCATTGATGTTTCTACCCTTCTCTCCCCCTCCCTTCCTCTCTCTATAAAATCAATTAAAAATAAATAAAAAACACAGTACCTTTTAATATTCTGTAACTAAAAGCATGTAATGTGGCTAATAAAAGAAATGCCGCTCCCTTAATTTCTACGTCTCTTGCATTCAGGAAATTTACCTGACGATCTGTGAGGGTGTCCTGCTAAGATTCTTGTGCTCACTGGAGGGTTTCTGAGATGGTGACCCTGCAGAATGACTAGAGGATGCATGCTGTCTCACTCCCGAAGGGTGCTGGAGTCGAGGAGGTAGTGCTGATGGAGCTTTTACTGGCTTGCTTGAATTCTTTGGCCCTCTGTAATCCGTATCTGTGACAAAAAGTCAAAAATACCGCTTAATTTTCCTATGATAAATTACTCCATGTATAATCACCCCTCCCTCCAAAAAAGAATAACTTGATGTGCTTCTACCAGAATGAAAATTTTGTCCAGAAGGGGAAGGTTTTTTCATCTTCTTCCCTGACACCGTGTTCCAGCTTTCTGAGGGAGGTGGTCTGAGGATCTTCGGTGAGTGTCTTCAAAAAGAAGGAAGACTTGAAATTATTTAAAGTGCTCATAGTAACAAAATCTACTTAAGTTTTTGGCATAACAATTTTATTTGTAACTTATATAAGAATTTCCAGTTTCAGTTACTATATAAAAATTAAGTACAAACAAAGCCATTTAGCAATCCAGATGTAATTCTAATCAAACAACACAAATCAAAAGCATATTTTCTAACCTAAAAATACCAGAAAACTAAAAAGCCTTAAATCACAATTGAAGCAAAAGATTCAAGGAATGATTGCTATTTATTAGATGTGACAATGGTACTACCATTCAGGTGGGAGGAGGCAGAATTCGCTACTGTGTTAGAGATACATAAAAGCATCTACATGTCTATGAGAAATGATGTAAAGTCTGGAATTTTTATTTTATTTTATTTTTTAATTCTCATGCGAGGATATTTCTCCATTTATCTTCAGATAGAGTAGGAGGAAGGGAGAGCATTAGAGAGACAGAGAGAAACAACGGCGAGAGAGGGACACATTGAGTGGCTGCCTCCTGCATGACCCCGACCAGGGCCGGGACGAACTGCAACAGAAGCATGTGCCCTTGACCAGAATCAAACCCACGACTCATTGGTCCACAGGCCGACACTCTAACTGCTGAGCCAAACCGGCCAGGGATGGAGTTTTTTGAAATATTCCAATTCCATTTTTAAAAAGGGTTAGGGAGAACAGATTATAAGACTGTCAAATGCTGCTGATTGCTGAACCAGGATGATGGTAGTTTGGGGTTCACTGTACTATTCTCCTAACATTTGTGTATGATTGAAATTTTCCATAATACAATTTAGGTGTGACTTACTACCTTTATCTCTAATAGGGGCAGCAAAAAATGAAATAAAAGGTGCTCTAAAGTAACACTGTAAGTCAACCATAAAATTTCACTTCATCTGACATTTACTTAAAGTTAACGACCTACAATGCAGCACCAAACGACATTAGAAGTGAACATGGCCCCACCCTCCAAAGGTTTCACTTTATAGTTATAACAAGTCAATTTCCCAAAATGCCTTTGTAAGGAATGGCACATTTTAAACAGTAACCAACAAAACGAGGGTTTTTTAAAATTTTAAATATGTCATCATGCAAAACACTGAATTTGGACTTAAACTAGTTTTTCAAAAGCTCTAAACAAATATATTTTCTACACATTGGCAACACCTCTAATTGAATTTGTAAATACACAAATCCATTCTGAAATGCTCGTGATTACATTAGGCTATGTGGAAGACAGTAAATGCCTTAGTTGAAGAGCAATACATACTTCTTTCCAACTTCTTCAATCAAAACTGGTCCATTCTCAGAGTGAACCCCGTGAAGGTCGGCATTAGAAAATTTTCCATTGTGATCCAACCTAGCCTGTTGAACAGTTGCAGAAAGTCAGTCACCTGCTACCTTGCATTAATGATTAGTTTATTTTATTTCCAATTAAAGAGAAAACAAAATGTATATTGTTAAACACAAACCTAATTTCAAAATGGTGTACAAAAATTTCTGTCTCTCTGACCTCCCAGACTTCTGTACCTCTAATAGCCTTTTGTTTATCCTTCCAAAATTGTTCTGAATTATTTTTGTAAATAGTTCAAGAAGTAGGGGCACCATCTATTAAGGCTCCTAACAAGAGGACATATTGCCCTGGTCCTGAGGTCAGGGCTACAACTCAACACGACCTGGATTCCAGGCCTGGCTTTTCTACTTACCAGCAATATGACCCTGGGCAAGTTACTTCTCATACTTCAGTATCTTCATATGCAAAATAAGGCTAATAATAGTACCAAAATCATAGGACTCATGAAGACAGAATGAGGTATGTATCATATATATGAAGGACACAAGAGTAACTATTATTATAATTACTTTTATCTTCTCACTTTTCCAATATGTAAAATGTAACTGTGACCTTTCTTCTCCCTAAAAATAGATCCACTATCTGTCTCTCACATTGGTATTTTCTAAGATCAAATTGTGACAGAAGAGTAAGCCCTGAGGTTTCGCTATAGCCAAACAACACTGAGCAGGGCAGCTGGCATGACTGCACCAGGAGCACGAGCACGTCGATGCAGTGTGGCCTTGAGTACTCTCCTACTTCTATTAGCTGACGAAATCCTCAAGCTGAGGTTTCATTCTTCATCAATCACAATGGGACACTGTGCCTTCCTCTCTTCAAGAGTTTAACAATACAAAAGATTTTTCTAAAGTTGATTTTTATTAAAAGTTTAAACTACATCTTACATGCTTTCTTGAGTAAACAAATCATCTTTGACTACTAGCAGTTTCCATAGTAAAATGTCAATTAAATTTTATGCAAATGAAAAAAAAGTCAAGTCACAGAATTAGAAACAAAATACTCTAAAAAGAAAAAAACTGCCTGGCCGGTGTGGCTCAGTGGTTGAGCATCAACCCATGCACCAAGAGGTCGCTGGTCCGATCCCCGGTCAGGGCACATGCCCAGGCTCTGGGCCCGATCTCCAGTGGGGGGCATGCAGGAGGCAGCCAATCAATGTTCTCTCTCATCAACATTTCTATCTCTCTCTCCTGCTCCCTTCCACTGTCTCTAAAATCAATAAAGAAAAAAAAATTTTTTTTAAACAAGAATCTACTTTACAAAAGCAAACACAGCCTCAAAGATACACTAGATTTGAAATAATGAGTATTACGTTAGTGATGCAATGTAAGATAAGCAATCTTCTCCTCTCTATTGAGGGGGTGGAGGAGGGGAACCCTAAATCCTGGTTTTATTCTTCTCTTTTGCTTCTCTCCAAGCTGTCCAAAAATTCCACAATTCTGTTCTACAATTAGATCATCATTCTGACAATCCCATAAAAAAGAACCTAAATGAACCACATCTTCTTCATCCTCTCCTTTCAAATACCCCAGAACCAGAACACTATGAAAAGTGCACAGATATGACCCTGGGCAATCAAATACTTTTCACAAACCAATGTATCACAAAGGAAATGAGAGTTTCCCCAACAAGTCAAGAAGAAATGTTTGTCAATGGCTATTTTAAGGTAATTTTTGAAAAGCAATACTTTTTTTTTAAATCCTCACCTGAGGATATGTTTTTATTGATCTAAGAGAGAGAGAGAGAGAGAGAGAGCGAGCACGCAGAAGGGATGGGGGAGGGAAGAAACATCCATGTGAGAGAAACACCAACTGGTTGCCTCCTCTACACACCCCAACTAAGGATCAAACCTGCAACCTTTTGGTATATGTGCCCTGACTGGGAATTGAACCTGAAACCTCTTGGTGTATAGGACAGCACTCCAACCAACTGAGGACCAGCCAGTACAGAAGGCAACACTTTTTGATAGAAAGCACTTTGATAAAAATTATGTTCCAACTAATTTTTGTGCATGTGGATAGTTTTTAGTTTGGAAATAACAGCATTTTTATCATAAAGAAAAGAGACCTTAGAAATTCTCTTATCCAGAGTTTCTCTCACCCTGGAATTTTTCGCACTTTAGACCAGATAATTCTTTGTCATGAGAGCAGGGAAGGGGGTCCTGTACACTATCTGGATGTTTGGCAGCAACCTTGGACTCCACCCACTAGATGTGATCTTAGTTGTGAAACAAAAAAAAAAGGCTGCAGACCTTGCTGAGCAGAGTGAAGGGTGCAGAATCACTCTAAGAAACACTGATCTAACCCAACTTTCCAATAATCAGCTACTTAAGTCCAGAGCAGTAGCTTATTCAAACTAAATGAAAAAACTCCTTTTATTGTCCACTTTCCTTTCTTAATCCAACAGAAAAAAATATTATGCACCTCTCAGTCTTTCAGGATGACTTATAAACAAAACAAATTGACCTATATCAAGCTTGAACCAATTATAAATTACTTGCCAACTGTAATGAAAACATCTAAAAATCTAAAATGTTAGTACTACTTCTTTGAAGCAAGTAATTAATTGCAAAGATTAAACTATTTTTAAAAGATTATGTGATGAGCCTGGCTGGTGTGGCTCAGTGGTTGAGCACTGACCCATGCACCAAGAGGTTGCCAGTTCAATTCCCTGTCAGGGCACATGTGCAGGTTGTGGGCCAGATCCCCAGTGTGGGGCATGCAGGAGATGGCCAATCGATGTTCTGTCTCATTGACGTTTCTCTCTCTCACTCTCCCTTCCTCTCTAAAATCAATAAAGAAAAAAAAATTTTTTTTAAAAAAGATTATGTGATGGGATGCCATGTTTTTAGATACATACAATTTTAGTATAATGTACTCAAATGAGTCAAAATGCTAAATATTTAAAACCATTAAAATGTATACATGAAAAAATGTATTCTGAAATCACGAATTAACAAGGCATTCAAACTTGATCATCTTTTTTTCTCAGATCCTATAATAATAAATAAGATTTCAGGTCAGATCTTTTCTTCATATAATCACTTACTTGGCATTTATCTCCAACTTCATACTGTAAGCCAGCAGCAATGGAATAATCACGTTTCTGTTGAGCTGTAAACAAAATCAGTATGATATCAACTTAATTTTATTATTTTCAAGTGCCACAGAGTAAATTTATAGGAAATACAAATTTTTAAGCTCACCTTGTTTAGACTTGAGCCAAATTTCATACTCCACATTTCTATAAACTGCTGGATTAAGTGACTTAAGAACCTTTCTAGACAAAGGAAGGCTTGGGGAGTTCCCATTGTTTTTCACGTGCTACACAAACAAAGTCAGGAAGTGTAATCAACACAGACATGTTTAGAAAACTTTTTTGTTTGAGATATAAGAATAAAATCAAAAGAAAACTCCAAAAATTTATAAGCTGCTGAAAAACTTCTTAGTTTTACATGCTCTTGACTCTAATGCAAATGTACAAGAGAAAAAAAATTAAGACTATAATTTCATAAGCTCTTATAATGAAAACTTAAAACCATTAGGAAAAAAATACCTGGTCGCTTGACAAAGCTTTGAATCCATTCATATCATTAGCAGTGCTAGTTTTACTCCTATAAAGGATAAAATAGAACCATAATTAAGAATATAAAATGTACTTGCATGCAATTAATTTATTCTAACCTCACATAAAAATGTGAGAAGTCAGAGTTGTATTCCAAGAAGTCAAAGCTATATTTCAATGAAACCACACAAATTTTAGTAAAGTATCCAAGTATATGAGAGTATGTGTGCACACGTGTGTATAACACATAAAATATACGTCAAAGACATTTATCAGTAATTCTTACTGGCTCAATCATCAAGAAAATAGAAATATGCCCAGCCAGTGTAGCTGAGTGGTTGAGTGTTGACCCATGCACCAAGAGTTCGCCAATTCAATTCCCAGTCAGGGCACATGCTCAGGTTGTGGGCCCAATCCCCAGCGAGGGGCATGCAGGAGGCGGCTAATCGATGTTCTCTCTCATCGATGTTTCTATCTCCCTTTCCCTCTCCCTTTCTCTCTCTCTAAAATCAATAAAGAAAAAATATTTTAAAAAATAAATAAAAATAAAGAAATAAACTGAAATTTGAGTGGGTAGAATGAGTTTATAAAACATTCAATGTGCCCTGGCCAGTTTAGCTCCTGCCCATACCACAAAACAAAACAAAAAAAAACATTCAATGTACCGTTTTTTTTCAGTGGTTAGAGCGTCGGCCTGCGGTCCAGAAAGACCCGGGTTTGGTTCCCGCTAAGGGTATGTACCTCGGTTGCAGTTTGTCCCTGGTCCTGGTTGGGTGGTGCAGGTGGCAACCACTCGATGTGTCCCTTTCATATCGATGTCTCTCTCTCTCTCTCTCTCCCCCCCTCCCACTCTATTGGAACAAAAAATGGAAAAATGTCCTCGGGTGAGGATTAAAAAAAAAAAAATTCAATGTAAAAAATTTCCTTTCAATACATAGATGAGGATCCATTAAACAAAATATTCCACTACAGCACGATGTACAATCTAGTGAGAGTATATGCAAACTATAATCAGTATGCTAAATGCTGGTAAGTGCTACTGGGTGTGAGGAGGTGGGGTTTAGGAAAAAGCGAATGTTGAGTCGTTAAGCTCAAAAAATAAAAAGTGGGATGAGTAAAAAAACGTGTTGAGATGTCTTTCTGAATAAAGAATTTTAAAGGGTGATGAGACAGCAAACAATATGGCCATTTAGTATTCCAGGCAGAGGAAACAGACAGCAAGTAAAAAGACCCAGGGATGGCCAAGAGGCTGGGAGATGAGGTGAGAGGCCAACTATACTCTTCTGTCCTCCACTCCTTAATAAATCAATCTCTAGTCTTCAGGGCAATCTCCAAATCTATATCCTTAAATGCAGCAATCTTTAAGAAACACCAAGTATCTAGTGTCTACATTTAAAAAAGCACCCGTAAGTGCCAGTACTTCAGCAATGACCAATGTAAATATGAAAAAAATCCAGGCACAAGAGTATAATGACATCCTTAGTCTTTCCTCCTTATTACCACACTATGCCTATCTGTTGTGCCATGATTATACAGCATTCTTCCCTAACTGAAGCCTTATCTTCCCTAAGCCAGATATGAAGAAAGAAATCTATGATAATGCAGAAAGTTAACCAGAAAGGCACCCATGTTCCAAGGGCTACAACAGTACAGTATAAAAAGAAAATCAGCATTAAAATGAGCACACCTTCCCTGGTTAACTTTCTCCTATGCTCAAAAACATGTCTTAATCAGACAGGTGCTGGAGAAAAAGAATTTCTATCTGTGCAAAGTCTACTCTAGCGTTAAACTTACAATGGCAGACCCAGATTCTAACCCAACTAAAGCATTTCTTTCTTACAAATGGTGGCCAATCAAATTTTCAAACAGGATCAGAAAATTTTAATTCAAGAAATGCCTGGAATTATAGATAAAGAAATATATATTTAAGTATTTAATAAAGAATTAGATATCCTAAGGCTTAATTTAATTTCTTTCTCTAGTTTCACAGCTAGTAGCTGTAACACCAAGTAGGATACTTTCCTACTTGAGATACAACAACAATAATAGTTGTAGCTTCAATGGGAATGGAATAGGATTGGTTCTTATAAAATATAAACTTCTTAATATTGCCAATAAAAACTAATATATGTTGGACACTATATCTAGGAACTAGGTTATGCACTTTGTATGTTATCTCTTTAATTTTTATCAATTCTGCCCTTTGAGGAAAACTAATACATCCTCATTTTACAGATGCAGAATTGAGGCTTCTTCGTGAATTTAAGTAACGTGCCCCAAGTCTAGTAAGGTGGCAGAAAGCCAGGATTGAAACCAGATATGGATGTACACAGCCCAAACTCTTAACCACTACCCTACACTTCCTGTGTGGAAAAGCAAAATAAGCCTCAGAGACTCGAAGTTAAAAGGCGCTTAGTCACAAACTAAACAGAGGCTGTTCACACACTATGCCCTAACTTGAGATTTTTATTACCTAAAAAGAAAAAGAGGTGGCATTATTTAAGAAAGACAACAATGAAAGTTAAGTCAAGGGAATAAAAATGGCCATTTTTTCAGCACTGGATACGTAAACAATTAACAGGTTAACCTTAAAATTTTACAATACCAGTGCTCGCTTCAGCAGCACATATACTAAAATTGGAACGATACAGAGATTAGCATGGTCCCTGCACAAGGATGACATGCAAATTCGTGAAGTGTTCCATATTTTTGAAACAGCCCAAATGTCCATCAGTAGACGAATAGATAAAAAAGCTGTGGTATATATACACAATGGAGTACTATGCAGTTGTAAGAAAGAAAGATCTCTTATCCTTTGAGACGACATGGAGGGACCTGGAAAGTATCATCCTAAGTGAAACAAGCCAAACAGAGAAAGACAAGTATCATATGACCTCACTTATTTGTGGAATATAATGAATATAACAATCTGAGAAATGGGGTTGTCCCAGAGACGTGGTAGTGGGGTACAAGCTGACAATCCCCAGAAGAGGGGGTGGTGGGGGAAGAGATAAACCACAAAACTTATATGCATGTATGCATGAATAGACATGGACAACAAAGCTGGGGACAGGGCAGGGAGGGAACCAGTGGGGGAAAACGGAGAAACATCTGTAACAAAAATAAATAAATAAAAACAAATCAAAGTAGAAAAAAAAAATTTACAATACCACACATATAGGTAGACCAAATCAATTTCACATATACACATCCCAATTACATAGAAGAGATGCTTATCAACCAAAAGCATCATCTTTCAAAAGAAACAATTCCTTCATAAAAATTAGGTAATATCAGTGGTAGAGAAAAAGAACCTTCCACTGCAGATCACTATATTTGAGGAATACTGTAATACTTCAATGACAGGCAACTCCACGAAGAAACATTTATTGATCTGTTTCTTTGTACGATACTTTAAAGATATTTTAGGATTTAAATTTATTCTTACTTGCAACTGTCATCCTCTGAATCTGATATTTCACTGTTGCTTTCACCAGCTACTTCAGTGGTGTCGAGTCCCATTAAGATTTTACTAACATCGGTTTTAAAAACCTTCTCATATAGCAATTCATAAAGTAGAGCTGCAATTAACAAGAGAAATGTTATACAACCTCAACTAATTTTATGTTTTAAATTTTATGTCTTATTGTCCAAGCTTCTAAAATCCTAACTAGACACTTGCAACATCAATAATACAATTTAATCAGTTACCTAGATAGAGAGCAACCAGGATTTCTGTGTGTAGTTAATCATTACATAAGATAACTGCCATTTTAAAAACAATAACATAAAAATGTATAACAACTATAAAACAAATATGGCAACAGAAGCTAAATATGCATACTGAGCAATTACTACACTCCATATACTGTGCTAAGCCTTTTGCATTACCTTCATATGTAATCCCAGCACAGTGGCATAATTATTCTAATTGACAGATGAGAAAACTGAGGATCAGAGATGCCATACAACGTGCCTAACCCTTGAGAGACTTGGATGGAAAATATTAAGATTGCTAGAAACGGTAACTTTTCATAAGAAACTAAAAAGAAACTTATAAAATGTATTCTCAGCAGCCAAGGAAGAAGTATATTTAGACAACTTTTCTGCTTTAAAACAAAATGAAAATATATATTACCAAATATTCAAAACATGTACAGAGTTCAGGACTCTCATTTGGTTTTATTACACTGATCCTTATGAAAACAAGCGCACTAAGAATTCATCAACATTGAGTTTCCTAAGAGACCTCCTTCTGACAAACCATCTTTCTTCTACTCCTGGTATCATCCAACCCATAGGTAATGAGAAATACAGGAAAGGAGGCTCCATGAGCTATCCTTCCCAAAGCTGACATGCCCAGATTTTGACTAGCTGGGGAAAAAAGGACACAGCCAGGGAAACAGACAGCTAGACTTCCATACCTCAAAACAGATCAATCAATTTAAAAATTTTGCACTACACATTTTCTTTACTGATCACCACTAGCTTAAGAACAGAGGAAAAAGCTGTTACATGCCCAGCACTACTGCTTTGTATGAGTGATGTGCACTTAGCAAAGATGAAGGGAGGAATTAATAGAGCAGTGATTCTCGATTAGGAAGGGAGGAGGAATTGTACCCTCCCAGGAAATATGTGGCAAAATCTGGTGACATTTTTGGTTGTCACAATGGGAGAGAGATCTACACAGTAGGTGCTAGGGGTACTACTAAACATCTTACAATGTACAGAACAGACCCCAAGACAAAGAATTATCTGGCCCAAAATGTCAATAGTGCCAGGTTGAGAAACCCTGCTCTAGAGCCAAATACAATCAAATGTTTGTATTTGCTTGTATTTGCTCAGTCATGTAGATTTTCAAGCCACACACTACCAGCATTAAAAACATATACAAATCCTTATTACTGAATGTAATTACTGCAGGAAAGAAATAACTTTTGTGTTTACAAGTCAAACTCCAGCTACTAGCTCTTTTCTCCTACTGAAACAAGTTTTTAAAACAATATTAGTATTTTTCGTAACCTAAGGTTTTTAGAAATATTTTTATACAACAAAACAGAGTACATTTTCCCTGACTGCATTAAGACTGTGTATCTTAAAAATATAATCTCCTATATAAACACAAAGGTGAAACTTACACTGACACACAGCAGAGCTCTCTTTATACTTTATGGGATAGACAATATCATAATGATTTCCATTTGAAAAACATAGTAATACCTGAAAGGGAAAAATAAAAGACACCTTTCAGCCCTTCGTATATGACATTTACATAGCAACTTACTATCACCAACATCTCTCAATTACTAGTAAATAATTTCTAAACAGTGAGTATTTTAGAAGCCCCAATGTAGTCAACTATGGTACATCCACATGCTGAAATGTTACACAGCCATTAAGTCAAAAGTTCTTAATGACCTGGGGAATGTTTATGGGATAAAACAAAAAACAAATACATTATGTAAAAGCAACATGATTTCAGCTACTTAAAGAACAAGAGTTGAGACTGTAAGAAAATATTCCAAAACTTTATTAATGCTTACTTACCTCTAAGAGGCAAAATAAAAAGTAAATTGTTTCTGCTTCTTTACAGTTAAGTACAGTTAACCCCTAAACAATGTGGGGATTAGAGGTGGCAACCCCTGTGCAAACATCCAAATATAATTTCTGAACCCCCCAAACTTCACAGTCCTCCATAGGCATCTGCAGGGATTGGTTCCAGCACACACAACCCCATACCAAATCCATGAGGACAAAGTCCCTGACATAAAATGGTGCATAACAATGCACACGGTCAGCCCTCCACATCTCAGATTCCCAACCTCCAACCTCGAATCAAAAATACTGTTTTCAATCTGCGGATGACTGAATCCGTGAATTTGATACCCTGAGACTCGGAAGACAGGCAGTATATTTACTCAAAAAAAATCCATGCACAAGTGGACCCACGTAGTTCAAACTCATGGTGTTCAAGAGTAAACTGTACTTTTTAAATAGTCAATAACTTATACAAAGAGAAAAGCACAGATTTTATTTAGATTACATCATATTCCAATAAATGTACTGGAAAAGGCCAGATACAGAGTCAAGCACCCTGGAAACCCCTAAGTCCTTATAAAGGTAGTATTTCACTCATTTCCAAGATGGTGACAAAGACACTTCAACTTGGCCTGAATGACACCAAAACAACTAGTTAAAATAAAGTTTTCTTACAATGAATCAGCTGGGTTTTTTTTCCCCTAGATTTTATACAATTTTTCAGTTGTTTCCACTTTGAACAGATAATAATACCTTAGCCAGCAAATTATCTTTATAATGCAAAATATAGCACAATTACCAAAGTATTTCTGGATGCAATGGCAGAACCTATTTTCACAAGTTTTTTTTTTTACTATTTAATATTTATATTGACACAAAAAAGTAATATTCTAGTTAATCATATACAGTAGTATCTCAGTTTTTTTCCTTTAGTGAAATGTTATAAGGTTCAACATGATGATTTGTGGGGAGAAAACAAATACAAAATATGACTCAATGATGATTAACAGGAAGTATACTATATTAGCTCAGTATCTAATCTTCATGCACAAATATTTCCAAATATCCACTTTAAAATTATAGCTTAGGCCCTGGCCAGTTCGGCTTAGTGGTTAGAGCACTGGGCCCAAGGACCAAAGGGTCACAAATTCGATTCCCGGTCAAGGGCATGTACCTGGGTTGCAGGTTCAATCTCCGACACAACCAATCAATACATCTATCTCACATCTCCCTCTTTCTCCCCCTCTCCTTCCCACTCTATCTAAAAAAAAAAAAAAAAAAGGGAAAAATATCCTCGAGTGAGGATTAACAAAAAAAATTAAAATAAAATAAAATTATAGCTTAGGAGGTCAAGGTGGCAACTGAGTAGTTCTTTTACTTAAATCTTCTAGAAACACTGAAAAAAACTCTTACCTTTTCAGGAAAATTATTTTCAGTTACTTGTGAAGGAGAAACATTTGGTTCCCGATAAATTACAAAATCTTTCCTGAAAATAACATTTAGAAATTACTTCTGATGGAATATATCTCATAAATTAAGATTTATCATTCATCAAGAGCCTAGGCAATGGTCTAGGCACTGAAGATATAGAAGTAAACATAAACAGTAATGAAATAACCAAGTTGTAGAATACCTATATAAAAGCAAAAAAATAAAAGTTTAGCCCTGGCCAGTGTTGCTCAATGGTTAGAGCATTAGACCATGCACCAAAGGGTCTCGGGTTTGATTCCTGGTCAAGGGCAAGGACCTGGGTTGCAGATTCAATCCCTGCCCTGGTTGGAATGTGTGCAGGAGGCAACCAATCAATGTGTCTTTCTCATATAGATGTTTCTCTGTGTTTCTCTCTCTCTTCTCCCCCTCCCTCCCTCCCTTCCACTCTCTAAAAATCAATGGAAAAAATATCCTCAGGTGAGGATTAACAAAATTAAATAGAAATTAAATTTCAAATATAACTTGTATATGTGTGACTTCGGACATAATTCTAAAAGGAGACCTCAAAACCATAGAAATTGTGAAGAGGCAATGTATAAAGACATTTTGAAAAGAAAATATAAAGCATTCACCTGCTACTCTATTAGGTAAAAATGGTAAAAACTGATATGGTATTTGGCTGTTCTAGTGGCCATTCAACATTACAGCCTTGAGAAAGTAGGAAATAATTTCTCTACAGGGTTAGTAAATGACAGTCTATAGGCCTGGAAAATTTTTCTATAGTCCTTTCCAAAAATATTTTGAGAATGAAAATCTCTTAATGTTGACATATCTAAATGTCAGAATCTAATTTATACCCCCCCCCAAAAAAAAGAGATGCTTCACAACCAAGGCATAAAAATGCTATTTTAACAATTTTAGTATAATGTAATATATTAATTTTCCACTAACTTTATTTTTGTTATTACAGTGGTTACCTGTACATAAGAGAAAGGGCACTTATTTCCACCTGTCCAACCCATTCCTGTTAAAGGAAAAAAAAAGTGGCATAAGTGTCTCATACTTTTTACAATATACCCCTAAAGCAGCAATTTTCAACCAGTGTGCTGCGGGAGGCATACTGGTATGCCGCAAGAATTTTTAAAACATGCAATATCTGACTATTTAGTCAGGGGCACTGACCTCTTTTCCCTTAGATTGTCAAATAAAAAAAATGACAACAGCCTGAACACAATAATAGCTGTCCAGTTTAATGAATCAAAATCATACCTACATTTTTTTTCTCAGATTGGCAAAAGTATTTTTTTGGTGTGCCACAGAATCTGAATAGTTTATATGCGTCATGAGATGGAAAAGGTTGAAAACTGCTGCTCTAAACACTATCTTCATACATACCGTTATACAATATAACTAATAAGACAGAAAGCTCATTATTAGTATATTTTACAATTATTAAAATATTTAAAAAACAGGCTATAATATATACTAAAAAGCAGCCCAAGTCTCTGTTACAAAAATCCTTAGTAACAGGGTGAAATGACAGGTCCTACTGGTATGGTAAGACTAAGAAGTGTTATCCCTAAATTGAGAACTTGTTGAATGCAAGGGCTCTGGTCCTCTAACCTAGCACCCAGGACAGAGCTTTGGCACATGGTATGTGCCCAGAACATGTGATGTTGAATAGAAGCAGAACTCAGGAAATCAGAAAGGTTCAAAAAGGGCAGATCTCTTATCTTCAGGGTGATTGAAGATAGAGAGAACAGTCTCTCGGCAATTGTTTTGAAATGTGGAAGAGATTCTACAATCCTAAAGAAGTCACTTTAGGTTTTAAGCCTTTTAGAAGGAAATGGTCAGTATATATAAAAATTTTACAGTACATCCATAAAGTTTTTGACAAATCTATCCTACAGAAATGTTTCATATGTCCACAAGCATATAAACAAGGATGTTCACTGTAGCTATTTGTAATAGTTTAATTTTTTTTATAAGGCCCCAAGATTCCACTAACAGATGAGGAATAATTAAATAGTAGTGTATACGTTTCTTCCATACTATATATGGAACATGTAATCATTAAAAAGAATAACGAATACTCATATGAACTGGCCTGGGAAAAAAATAACTCAGACTAGTTGAAAAAGTAAGTCATAACAAAAGAATCTTGTATAAAACAAACAAAAAGGTATGTGTAATACATATGTATACATTCCTACAGAGGACTGGAGGATGCATCCCAACTGACTGTGGAGATAAGGGAAAAGGAAGGATTTTTTCACTCTTCATTTTCTATTAAATCCTTTACTATAAGAATGTATTCTATAATACTGGTGAAATTAGTAAAGACTTAATACCAAACAATCACTAAAAATAATGAACTATGGTAAATGAATGCTGCCACCTTTTCCTTGAAAGAAAAGAAATTTGAGATAAGGAAAAGATTTTATACAATGATCTCAGACAAGGACAATCTTTTCCCCAGCAACGTTTCATTTTCATAGTTCTTAAAAGTTGGCTCAAGTTTTCAAAATGAAATGGGTACCACACATATTAAAATAGATTTCTTAAAATAGGCCTCTACCTAACAACCATGGCTTCTCATCAACTGCTACAAGCGACACCCTTCTCGTGTAAACGAAATCTCACTGAAACCAATCTGCTTACATCACACACACAAGCTACATCTAATGCAAAATGTGTTACATCACTTTAAAAAACAAAAAATTATTCTACTAATGTCAACAAAATATTACCTTTCAAATAATATACCATTTTATAAGTATTTAATCTTCAGAATAAATTCTGCAACAGTCTGGTTAAGTAAACAACGGCTATCACTGTATTTTCTTGTCTTCTCTAACCAGGGTCAATTTTAAATTATAAAAATAAAATGTTCTACCATTGTCTTCCACCTTAAGGCTATAATTTTATTTACTCAGCACCTTTTATGATGTTTGATATACTTCCTTACTGCAGGTAAGAGGAAAGTATTATGCACATTATTTTTTAACTAATGAAATATATATTTAATTGTTTAAATGTTCTCAGTCATCAAAAGCAAATTTCTGTTCCTCAAAAGATACTATTAAGAAAATGAAGCCCTGGCCGGTTTGGCTCAGCGGTTAGAGCATCGACCTGTGGTCCAGAGAGACCCGGGTTCAGTTACCGCTAAGGGCACGTACCTCAGATGCAGTTTGTCCCTGGCCCTGGTTGGGTCATGCGGGTGGCAGCCACTCCATGTGTCCCTTTCACATCGATGTTTCTTTCTCTCTCTCTCTCCCTCTCACTCTATCTGAACAAAAAATACAAAAGTATCCTCAGGTGAGGATAAAAAATAAAATAAAATGTTCTTAAAAAAAGAAAAAGAAAAGCAAGATACAAATTGGAAGAAAATATTTACAAAATATATATCCGATAGAGAATTTATATTTAGTATAAAGAACTCTTATAACTCTATAAAACATAAAAAATGAGCAAATATATGAAGACATTTACCAATGAAGATAAGCGGATGGCAATAAGCACATGAAAAGAAGCTCAACGTCATCGGAGAAAAGCTAGTTAAAAACACAAAGAGATAGCACTGCACAACCACTAAAACGTAAGCTACAGTTTAAAAGGCTAATAATACTGAGTGTTGATGAAGATGTAGAGCAATCGGAATTCTCATATATTGCTAATGAAAAAGAAAAACAGCATAGCCACATTGGAAAATAGTTTGGCAGTTTCTTATTTAAGCTAAGCATACATTTACCATATGGCCCACTAATTTCACGCTAAGGTGTTAATCAAAGAGAAAAACAAACATACATACATCCACATAGAGACTTATAAGCAAATGTTCTTAGCATCTTTACTCATAACAACCCAAAACTGGAGAGAACCCAAATAACCATCAACTGGGAAATATACAACCAAATTGTGGGACATCCATATAATGAATGACCACTCAGCAATAAACTAAAACTAATACACACAACACAGATGAATCTGTTTCCATTATGCTAGGTGAAAGAGGCTAGACATAAGATTACAAACTGTATCATTCCATTTCTATAAGTCTAGTAAAAACAAAACTTAGAAATCAGATCAGTGATTGCCCAGGGGGTAGAAGAAAATGAAGTGCAAAAGAGCACAAGGAACTTTTTGGAGTCATGAAAATGTTTGTGTTGGTGGTTACACAATGTATATAATTTGTCAAATCTCATCAAATTATACACTTAAAACTGATGAATTATATGTCAATTTTACCTCATTAAAGCTGACAAAAATATATTCTTGCAGAAAGTTTGAGAAATTTTTTAAATGCTCCACTGGTATTTTAAGTAAAAGAAAATTGATGCTTTCTCTGAGAATTGGATGAAGCAATGAAGCTTATCCAACTGTATTTTTTTTCATTTCATGTGTCTCATGTATCGAGGAGAAACAAATGAAGACATAAATATTTGTTGCTAATAGCAAAACAGCCTGGCCAGTGTGGCTCAATGGCTGAACAGTCGACCCATGCACAAAGAGGTCACCAGTTCAATTCTAGGTCAGGGCACAACCTGATCCCCAGTGGTGGGCATGCAGGAGGCGACCAACTGATGTTCTCTCTCATCGATGTTTCTATCTCTCGCTCCCTCTCTCTGTAAAAGGCAATAAGGAAAAAAAATTTTTTTTAAAACAACAACAAAGAACAGACCGTTAATTCAGAAGGTACCTAAAACATCTAGAGAAGCTTGATCAGACTGGAGGAGACAGGTCATAAGAATTAAAGATCTGGCCATCCAGCCCTGGCCGGTTTGGCTCAGCGGTTGGAACGCCGGCCTGCGGACCAAAAAATCCCGGGTTCAGTTTCCGCTAGGGGCACATACCAATAAAAAAAAAAAAAAAAGATCTGGCCATCCAGAACCCTGGAAAGAAGGCACCTGTCCTGTGCTCAAAACCACAGCAACTTTCTTTCCATCCTTCCCCTCCCAGACTCCCAAATCAGTCTCAGTTTAGTTCACACTACCTCATTCCCTACCTGTCCCCTTCTCTCCAGTCCCATTATGTCTTTCCTTTCTCAAGACTCTCAAAGCTCAACATCCTGAACTGCTGCACAAAGATTACTATAAAATAACATGGTGGGGCTTTATCTGATTAAAAAATAAATGTTGCCCAGCCAGTGTGGCTCAGTGGTTGAGCATCAATCGACCCATACACCCAGAGGTCGCCAGTTCGATTCCCGGTCACGGCATATGCCCAGGTTGTGGGCCAAATCCCCAGCGGGGAGCATGCAAAAGGTGGCCAATCGATGTTCTCTGTCATCGATGTTTCTCTCTCTCTCCCTGTTCCTTCCTCTCTAAAAATCAATAAAGAAAAAAATATTTATAAATAAATGTTTTCACCCTCGGCAGTTTGGCTTAACAGTTATCAGCCTGAGGACTGAAGGGTTGCCAGGCTAGAACCCAACCCAACCAGGGTCATGTGGAAGGCAGCCAATTGACGTGTCTCTCTTGCACTGATGTTTCCCTCTCTCCCCCCATCCTCCCACCCTTCCACACTCGGGGGGGGGGGGGGGAAATCAATGGAAAAATATCCTCAGGTGAGGATTAACAAAAAAAAAAAAGTTGTTTTTGTCATTTCCTTTATTTTCCATAAAGAGAGTAAAAATCACTAGTACCACATACACAATTTGCTTACAAACTCTTGTTTAGGTTATAGTTTTCTTAAATCAAGTGAAAGAATCTTTATATCTGTTCACATGTCTTTCTCCATGGTTTCCGGCATCCATGACAGACAGTAAAATGTGTTAATTGTGTGACTTGTATCTCCAAAAGTCTGACTAAAATAATATCTACCAAAAGGGTCTATGTGGGGGGGGGGGGGGATCACCAGCAATATTATTACGCAGAGAGAAAAACTTTAAACATTCTGGTGTTTATCTTTCCTATCTATTACATATAATACAATATGGATTTAACATTTAATAAGCACACACAAATTGATCATCAATTAGGCATCAAAACTGAAAGGTAGTAACAATGGGAATTCCAAAAGCAATCAAATATATAATCCTTACCTCCAAAGGCTTATAAAAAAATATATATATATAAACTTCAGGAAAATATATTTGTGACCATGGTATATAGTCAAAACTCAGCACTGAAATCACTAAAATAAAAATGTGGTCAGGAGTGTATTCAGAGAAATGGCATTCAGAGGATGTTTGTCTCCCAAACTGGAGTAATACTACACTTATTCCTTTTTTAAAAATACTTAATATAATGTGCACATTTTTCCATGTTTTAAACATTTTTTTTTTTTTAACAACTGCAATTGGCTCTGGCCAGTGTGTCTCAGTTGGTTGAGCATCATCCTAAACACTGAAAGGTTGCTGGTGCAATTCCGGATCAAGGCGTAGGCCAGGTTGCAGGCTAGATGTTCATTCTCACAGGGATGTTTCTCTATCTCTCTCTCTAAAAAATATAAAACTTCAGGAAAATATATTTGTGACCATGGTATAGAGTCAAAACTCAGCACTGAAATAACTTAAACCCGCCCTGGCCAGTTTGGCTCAGTGGTTGGAGCGTCGGCCTGCGGTCCATAGAGACCTGGGTTCGGTTCCCGCTAGGGGCATGTACCTCGGTTGCAGTTTGTCCCTGGCCCTGGTTGGGTTGTGTGGGTGGAAACTACTCAATGTGTCCCTTTCGCGTCTATTTTTCTCTCTCTTTCTCTCCCTCCCAATCCACCTGAACAAAATATCGAAAAATGTCCTCAGGTGAGGATTAAAAAAAAAATCTTAAATCCTGCGAGTTTGGCTGAGCAGTTAGAGCATCAGCCGAGACCAAAGGGTTGTGCGTTCGATTCCTGGTCAAGGGCACATATCTGGGTTGCAGGTTCAATCAATCCCCAGCCCTGATCGGGGTCGTTCAGGAGGCAACCAATCGGTATGTCTCTCTCACATCAATGTTTCTGTTTCTATTTCTCTGTCTCCCACCCTCCTGCTCCCCTTTCTCCCTTCCTTCCACTCTATCTAAAAATCAATGAAAATAAATATCCTTGGATGAGAGGACTAACCAAAAAAAAAATCTTAAAATTACTGCAATTGGCCCAGCGGTGTGGCTCAGTGATTAAGCATCGACCCATGCACCAAGAGAATGCCGGTTGGATTCCCAGTCAGGGCACATGCCCAGGTTGTGGGCCCTATCCCTAGTGCGGGGCATGCAAGAGGCGGCCAGTCGATGTTTCTGTCTCTCTAAAATCAATAAAGAAAAAAAAGGAGGGGGGCATCACTGCAATTGGTCTTCTTGACTCTGGTATCATCTCCCTCTAAACCACCTTTACCCAAAATTCTTTCATCCATCATTCAGTCAACAGAAATGCCAGGCAGTGTTCTCTGGTTCATAGCAGTGAACAAAACATACTCACTTCCTGCTTCAAAACACTTCCTAATGCCAGATTCCCAGGCCCCAGGCAGACTTTGATTCAGATCAGGAATGCAGGACAAGGAATCTGCATCTGTACAACTACCTCAGGTGATTCTGAGGCAGATGGTATGTAGCTCACACTGAGATATGCTGGTCTAAAGCAAATGCTACAAACTGGTGAGTCTAGCACTGAAGAGCTCCCATGATCTGGCCCACAGCCTGCCCTCTGACTTATTTCTCTACTACCTCCTACTTTCGCATGCTCCATGCTCCACAGAACTGGACTGCTTTCTGAATCTGCCTTGCTCACAATTTTCACTACCTGGAAATGCCCTTCATCCTGGCATCAGAATCTATTCATACTTCAAACACCAACTCACTCTCCAACTCTTGCTTCACCTCCCCAGCTGGAAACAAAACTCTGACTGCCTATAGCATCAAACCTGTACTCTCACTTTTATTAGAGCTTCTTCCCCACCACAAGGAAAACTGCAAACAGCATCCAAATCCCAGATACCTCTGCAGCCCCAGAGTGACTGGCAATTCTTGGCCCACAGCAAGCATTCAAATTAATGTTAGGGAATCACACTGAGATACCAGTTGTTGATCAAACACCCTGATTCTGTGTTATTATTCCCTTCTGTCCCTGACTCCTCTTCTTTGTTTCTTCCTTTGCTAATGTCATTTTAAACTTAACAGTAATTACCTCTGGAGATGACAGAACATTCTACAAGGCATTCCATGTTACATGGATTTTTATAGGGAATTTGTAAGCAGGAAAGAAATTATTTTAACTTCAACCTGACTGAGAAAGTATGGCAGTAGGACCTGGGGGGTGAGGGGGAGTGCTGTCCCTTCACTCTCAACAGTCTCTACACCTTCTTCTCAAGCTGACTATGGGAAATGGAACCCCCATAAGAGAACCTATCTTCTGTTACCTGAGAAAGCAGTAAAATCTTTCCGTCCACCAAGCCCCATACACTTGCCAAAATAGCATCCTGAAATTCATCACCAGTGTTATTTTAGCTCCTTTATACGACATTCATACACACTTTTAACAAAGATAAAGATACCACAACCCTGTCCTGAGGCAACATCCAATACACAGTACAAAACTCCAACTGTTTTCCAATTAAATGCTGTGTAAAATGTGCACCTAAGAAATGTTTATAAGGAAACAGAGTAACTCAATGTAACCCTTCCATACACTATAATATTAATCTTATATATAAAAAATAGATATATTAACAGATTACTGCATACCTGCGGATTTTCCAAACGTTTTAAATAGTCTTCAAATGACCCTTCTATGAACTAAAAAAGAAAAAAAAAGTTTATTAGGAATACACCAAAACAACAAGTAACCCCTCTCCACTGTGAATTACTACATTCTTATACAAACCTTGGATACATCAGTGATAGCAGAAAACACGCACGCATATAATCTAATTAGGAAATGCACACAAATCATTAAGTAGATTATAAACACACAAAAGAATTTTAAAAAGGAAACACTGTCAGAAAAGATTTCCTAGACAAGATGTGGACGGGCACAAGGACAATACGGCATGTGGAAACTGAAAATTCTGTGTTGGGTAGACAGGAGTGACCTGGTCAGCAGGAGCAGGGCAACTTTGTGGGGAGAGCAGAGTAAGAGAGAACTGAGAATGGACATCTGTTTATAGAGAGCCTTGAGCCCAGGCAGGACTTTCAGAAAAAGAGAAGGCAATTCAAGGTCACTGCAGGCGACATTGTGAACAGAGAAATTACATGATAAAAGCAGTATTTTAAGAATAATTTGGTAATGGCCAATGTGTAGAGGAGAATAAACAAAGACAGATATATTAGCTAAGAAATATTAGTTTACTAATACAGATATGAATATCCATTGTTCCTTAGAGGTCAGTTATACTAAAAAAAGAGATGAGAATTAATAATGCTAAAGACATTTTGAAGAATCAACAAGATTCTTCTAATACAGCTTGCTTCATTGTCACCTTAACATAAAAATAAAAGTTATTCAAACTATGTGAACCCTGGCTGGTGTGGCTCAGTAGGCTGGGCATTGTCCCATGCACCAAAAGGTTGCCTTAGGTTTCCGACTTAAAGTCTGTAGTAGAGGGCATGCAGGAGGCAACCAATGGATTGGAAAATGGATTTTTTTTCCTCTCTCCCCCTAAAAATCAATAAAAGCCCTGGCCGGTTTGGCTCAGCGGTTAGAGCGTTGGCCTGCGGTCCAGAGAGACCCGGGTTCGGTTCCCGCTAAGGGTGCGTACCTCGGTTGCAGTTTGTCCCCGGCCCTGGTTGGTCGTGCGGGTGGCAGCCACTCGATGTGTTCCTTTCACGTTGATGTTTCTCTCTCTCTCTCTCTCCCCCTCCCACTCTATCTGAACAAAAAATGGAAAAATGTCCTCGTGTGAGGATAAAAAAATAAAAAATAAAAAAATAAAAATAAAAATCAATAAAAAATATTTTAAAAAAACAACTATGTGAGCCCAGGCCGGTTTGGCTCAGCGGTTAGAGCATCAATCGGCCTGCGAACCAGAGAGTCCCAGGTTCGGTTCCCGCTAGGGGCATGTACCAAAAAAAAAAAAATTCCCCCACTTGAGAAACTCTGCAGCAAAAATAAACTTAAAAAAAACTATGTGATAACATTTTTTTTTTAAAGTGATTACACTAATTTAATTGAGAAAGCTCTAAAACACCATCTGAAACACCAAATTAAATTTTATTTAAATTACAGTCCCAGTCAATTTAGCAAAGCAATACACCTAAAAACATTAAAGTACACTCCCCAGTCTATAAAAATCTTTTAAATGTCTATGGATTAAAAAAAAAATTTTTTCTTTATTGATTTTAGACAGAGAAAGGGAGTGGGAGAGAGAAAGAAACATTGATGGCTGCCTCCTGCATGTCCCTCACTGGGGATCGGGCCCACAAACTGGGCATGTGCCCTGACTGGGAATCGAACCAGCAACCTCTTGGTGCATGGGCTGGTGCTCAATCACTGAGCCACATCAGCCGGGCTGGATTTTTTTTTTAAAGACTGAGATTATATCTTTTATAGACTGTATACTGTTCAACTTCCAAAAAATATCTTAAGTTTCCACACACAGCTATAACAACATAGCTATATATTTTAAATATCCCACCAATCAGAGGCTACTGTTCTGTGTTAGGTAATTATTTATCGACTTAACCCCAAAGACCATCTAAAGTTGGAAGAGACTCAAGCAGTGTTCTGCAAGCCTACATCTGATATAAGATTCTCCTTTCTAATCAGAAAGCATCCACCTAGGCTCTGACTGAACATTTTAAGTCTTTCCATGACAGCCTTTTCCCATTCTGACCAACTAAAGGTACTTATTATAAAGAAAGTGAAACTTAGCCTTTTGGAACTTTCAACCTCTAGTCATACTGTATAAGATTCCAAGAGCTAAATAAATAGTTGCAAAGCATTTGAACTAATGCCTGGCACACATATATATAAGTGCTCAATCAGTGTTAGTAATTTCCAGTATTGTCAACAGAGTTTCTACCTCTGGGGCCAATAATAATGACCATCTCGTTTGTAATTTCTTCAAATACTTAAAGACCACTCCACTTACCCTCCTCTTCTCCATCTCGCCCTAATACTCTATCTAGCCTCCTCATTACCAGTTTTCTTTATGTAAGACAAGTTTTCAAATCTCCCGATCAAGTAGGTAACTCTCCTTCCTGAAATGTATTACTACTGTCCATCTTGTAACATGGCACCCAGAAAAATGTCACCAGTAATAATATTTTGCTTGAATATTGGAACATCATCCCAAAAGCACATCCACACTAAGAACCATTTACTTATTAAGTCTCAAAATTGAGTTATTTGCCCAATGTTCTTTTGGCAGTCCACAGGGGAAAACACCACTGAAAGCTGTCAGATGACTTAATTCTAGGTAAATCGTATAAGGCTTTCAGTGTAAAATGAAAATAGGTCACTGTCACATTTCACAGCCTATGAACATACGACTGAGAAAATTCCAGTAAGGTGTTCTACAACATTCTATTAACTATTAATCATTATTTACATAATACAGTGCTCTGATAGGTGGTTCACAGTGATAAACCTTGAAAATTAAAAATTTATAAATGCCTTCTGATAAAAGACTCAGTATGAATTTTTTTAACTCATGGGGGTTACAAATCACAGAAAACTCCATTAACCACAACACCTAATTCCCTGACTATGTCAGACAAAACTCACTCTTAATATCCGAGGATCCTGCCCAAGTCACCCTGTGTCCTCCACAGCTCAGTGTCTTATGTCACAGAAGCTTTCTAAATGTCTGAATAAACGAATACCACAAAATGGCATAAAAACTATCACAAATGAATATAATTGGATTTAAATTCAATAAAGCAATTCTTTTTTATAATGAGATTTTCATAATCCATATTAAGTTCTATCCTATGAAATTCCCACTAGACTACTTCTAAAGAGTGAACTGTAAATGCAAGTCAAGACACCATTACATGTTTAAAATTACAAATTACCGCTTCAAATTTCTCTCTGTTCTCTCGAAGATAGTGAATACAGGCCATTCTGACTTCAACATGGCGAGACTGAGAGTGCAATACCTGAAAATAAAAAGTAACACACTATTAAGCATTTTGTTAAAATAAGATTTAAGCTGCAACCTAATAGACATATCATTTGTATTTCTGTAATTTCTAGATCTTTATTCATTCCCACTTATTCCTCTTATCACAAAGATGACATGACACATACAAACAGTAGTACTTCTTAAACCAGATGGCATTGTATACAGAGCTTATTACCATTTCTCCTTTAGGTCACTGAAATCACTCCTTTGAGAAAATCTTTGTAAACTTAAGACAGTTTCCTCTTGTGGCCAGCCCTCTACTATAACTTAGCTCTTCACAAAACAGGACTAACAGAATCCCTGCTACACAGTGCTTAGCTTCACCCTATGAATTTTAAATTGCTTGCCTTATGTAGAAATCTATGTCTACTGTGGTTTCAGAAAAATTAAGGCGTTCATTCTTAAATCCTTAGTTGGTGGGATTACAGGACTCTTGAAAGAACATCCAAGTGAGCATCACACAGGATTCACACATGCTGCTGTGTTGTCATCCCAATAGCCATAAAACTTGCTCTTATGCCCAAAATCTTAGATAAACCCGAAATAAACCACACTAAAAAATGAACCAAATCTTCTCTTTGTAGCCTCTGTGTTCTTCAGTTAAACAACTAATTCATCAAAAGGGTAATTTAAATGTATTGGCCTTTTGTCTCTTACTAAAATTCCAAAGCTTTGGTTTCAAACAAACTATTATCAAATACTTAGGAACTGTTAGACTAACTTCCAGTACTTTAACTTCCACTCTTAAGAGGAGACTGAAATTATTTTCTTCTACTAGGTGTCTCAAATGAAGGTGTTCCTAGCACCCTATAGGATGAAAGTGGGGGAAAAAAAACCAAACTGACATTTAAAATAACCATATCTCGAACTAATATGAAGGCCACTTGAAATTTTAAAGTTATAGCTGTGATACATCTGACAAGGGACTGATATACAAAATACATAAGCAGCTCATAAAACTCAATAACAAAAAATAAACAACCCAATAAAAAAAAATGGGCAGAGGACATGAAAAAACATTTTTCCAAAGAAGACATGCAAATGGCCAACAGACATCAAAAGATGCTCAACATCATTAATTATCAAGAAAATGCAAATCAAAATTACAATGACTATACCACCTTACACCAGTCAGAATGGCTATTATCAAAAAGTCATGAAATAGCGTGTTGGCAAGGATGTGGAAAGAAGGGAACCCTGGTACACTGTTGGTGGGACTTCAAATTGGTGCAGCCACTATGGAAAACAGTAAGGAGACTCCTTAAAAAACTAAAAATAGAACTACCATACAACCCAGAAATTTACTTCTGGATATCTGTCCAAAGAAAACAAAAACATTGTATTTATTTATTTTTATTTAATGAGTTGTAATTTTTTTTTTTTTAATCCTCACCCGAGGACATTTTTTTTCCATTTTTTGTTTAGAGTGGGAGGGAGAGAGAGAGAGAGAAACATCGATGTGAAAGGGACACATCGAGTGGTTGCCACCCGCACGACCTAACCAGGGGCCGGGGACAAATTGCAATCGAGGTACGTGCCCCGTTTGCGGGAACTGAACCTGGGTCTCTCTGGACCGCAGGCCAACGCTCTAACCGCTGAGCCAAACCGGCCAGGGCAGAAAACAAAAACATTACTTCAAAAAGATACAAGCACCTCCATGTTCACTGCAGCATTATTTACAATAGCCAAGATATGGAAGCAAATTAGTTGTTCACAGATAGATGAACTGATAAAGATGATGTGTTGGGTCTGTATATACACACAATGGAACATTATGCAGCAATAAAAAAGAATAAAATCCTGCCCGGCTGGTATGGCTCAGTGGTTGAGCATCGATCCATGCACCAAGAGGTCATGGGTTCAGTTCCTGGTCAGGGCACATGCCCAGGTTGTGAGCGAAGTCCCCAGTGGGGGGCATGCATTAGGTGGCCAATGGATGTTCATTCGCATCGATGTTTCTATCTATCTCGCCTTCTCCCTTCCTCTCTCTCTAAAACCAATAAAGAAAAAAAAAGTTTGTTTAAAAAAATAATAATAAAATCCTGTTATATGTGAGGACATGGATGGGCCTGTAGAGTATTTATGTTAAGTAAAATAAGTCAGACAAAGAAAGACAAATACTGTATAGTAGTTTCATTTATATGTGGAATATATATATTTTTTAATGAACAAACAAAACAGACTCATAGAAATAGAGACCAAAAAGATGATTATCAGAGGGAAAGGAGATGGGGGACTGGGTAAAAAGGGTGAAGAGGAATATGGTCAATAATATTGTAGTAAGTTTACATGGTGACAGATTTTATTAGAATTAGCGGGGTGATCACACTGTAAGGTATAAAAATGTAAAATCACTATATCGTACACCTGAAACCAATATAACTCATATGATTTTGTACACCAACAATACTTTAAAAAGTTATAGTTCCAAATGAGTGATTCTCTCTTATGTTCACAGTGAGCAGAAAAGGGAGACTCCAGCTGCACATTTTACAGGTCTCTTTGGATAACAGCCAAGGCTCATATAACCACAGAACCAGAAGCACAACTGTCTGGACGGCTAGTATGCCCCTTTACATTGAGATATATTGAAGATGCACTGCCTGAGGTGAGCAATGAGTTTGTTGCCAGTGTACCAGTTGATTTTCAGCTTAACTGAGTTTACTTGAACTGCTGTCCTGGGAAGTATTAAAAAGCATCCTTACATATTGTAAGCTTCCAGCACTGTAGGAACTGTCCATATATGAAACTAACCACCACCCAATTTTTTTGCCAATGTAACAAACGATAGTTAATGACACTTCACAAAAGCTATATTAGACACCATTATTGAATCAAGGTATTATCAGTTTAAGTATAGTGTCATTTGATAGGGCTTTCCTGCAGTTAGCAAAATGAAACTAGTCTTAATGAGATTTACCTAGCAACAGGTGGCAGACATAAATGAATAAAGCTATTTCCCATCAAAAACAATGGTAGGTATACTGTTTTTTCTCCTTTTAACAAAGATTTTATTAGCACATGAAATCTGAACCTGTTACTCAGAAGCAGAACTCTCAGCCAACTTCCATAAAGTGCTGGGTGCTGGTGCTTTAACAAAACCAAGCACTACAAGAGAAGCAAGGTTACATGACAACTGTTTAAAAAGTATAATATTGTGCAAGTTCAAAGACAAACAGAAAAAATTCAAATGACAAGTATCTTTGCACATTATTACATACATGAAAATAAGCTAGAAATAGGAGGCTTTTTAATCTTTACTTGGGACAAGATAGTGATAAATACTGGGAAAGGCTAAGATACACTGCTTTAGCAAGTCCTCTAAGAGCGCCCTATTTTTAGCTCCATAGCCACAAAGCTGATTCAGGTCAGGCCTCCTGCATGCCCAAGTCTAGAAGTGTAAAAAGGGAAGGGCCTACTAAATCAGGCAATTGGAGGGAAATACTACTCCTAATTCAAGTCTCTACCCTACTAACCCCAGAAAGTGCCATTTAGCTTACTCTGACTCCTTATAAACGATGTTATTCTGACATTATTGAAGAAAATGTTGGCAAAAACATTAAATTCTTTGTACATATTTTTAAAGGGCAGCCTGAAGTTGTTATTACTTCCCTTGCCCCCACCCCCACATACATACTTTGCCTTTGGCCATGGAGGCTCCCCGCTTAGCCCATGTCTACTAAAGAACAGAGCTTTCTCAAAAAATTCACGGTATTAAGCTTCCTAAAGTCAATGTACTAAAAATCAAGTCACATAAATGGAGAGGACACTCCCTTACACTTAATTTAGCACATTTTATTGTATCTCGTTATAATGGGATATATCTGATGTTAGCAATGAGTTCTTAGTACAACTAGCTCTTGCCCCTTTCTACTCAAAAACAGAGATCCCACTACAATAATAGAGGCTTCTGTGTAATCAAGTTCACCAATTATCTATGGCATGGAATACTGAAATGAGATACACCTTTCTGTTTCAATATAAACCAAGATCTGGATAATCCAACTCCAAATGAACGCCAGGCTTCACTAAGTTCTATTGGTTTCTACCTCCTTCCTTACCCAACTCTTGCAAGAGCTGAGTATATAAATACATTTCTACCTCTTCCTCAGCTTCTGGAGATGCTGGGGAGTCCAGGGAGGCTGAGACAGAGGAAGCAGGACAGATGGAAATGTGGAAAATTCACAGATGGGACAGACTGTTTACCTACTAATAGTAAAGACTGGGGGTGTGGGGGTGTGTGTGTGAACATATCCCACAGCAACATTGGAACATCCTAAATTTCTAAAAATGAGAGAAACTGAATGAACTAAAAAAAAAAAGACAGAGCTTGGTTTGGGAAGCTTTTTTAAGAAGACTGTTTGAATGACAATGCCTGCAACCTAATGCAAAGGTGTATACCAGTTAAATCCAATTTCTTGTTTTAAAAAAAGATTTCATGCTACTGATGTGAAGAGAGGGCCTTTGGAAAATAAATGGTTGGCCTTTGATATTGAAAAAAAATGAGAATAGACTGGTCCACAGCTGTTAAGTAAAACATTTACTCACAAACAGATATTTTGAAAGCTATTTAGCATTCAAAAGAGATGAGAAAAACAGAAACAGAAAAACTCCACGGAGGGGAGGAGTGAATCCTAAGCCAAAGGAAAGCAAACTGTGAAAGGTATGAAATACACACCAGGGCAGTAACGTGAAACTTTTAACCAACTATTTTAGTAGCTATTTCCAATATAGGATGGATTTTAGTGACTGCATACTTACCAACCACCCAGTGTTATATAACGTGGAATAAATTCTCTTCCAAAAAAAAAAGAGGAAACACCTTCCTAAGCAACTGTGTTAGAATGGGATTTCTGACCATTAACGGGAAAATTCGGTCAAGGGCCCAAAGCAACCCTAGTTATATCCTTCCTACCACCACCACCAAAATAAACTTGTTTAAAAAGTAAATTGTTTTTAGTATACCTACACTGCCTTGCAAAGCAAAATAAAGTCTAGTATCTACTCTTAAGACGAATCTTTTAAAACAGGCTGTATTTTCAAAAAGCTGGCTTTCCCGAACTACACCTTCTCCCCCTCTTGATCCAAGTGGACAACGGCGGGCTTGACTACCCACATTCCAAAGTCCGGCAGCAGAAAAACACTGCTCAACGAGTCCAGTCTGGTGCACCGACTCCTCCAGCAAACATTTGGTTTACCGGCGTGAACGCTCTGCTTAGAAAACGAACAGAAGGTGAATGCGGAACAGGACGGAAAATCATCCTTTCGCCAGGTCCCCAGCCATCCACCAACTGCGCGTGCTCTCGCCAGGCCGCCCAGGTTGTCCTCCACTCACTACCTCTTCCCCAGGAGGGACGACACCCAGTGAATGGACGGGTTTCTAAGTTTCGATTTACAGCTTCCAGACCCAGGACAGCGTCCCATTCCGGCGTTACAATGGGCGGCTGTGACGACAGCGGGGCCACGCGCAGCCCGGACGCGGGCCGCCCGGGCAGCTGCCAGCCACCGCTTTCCCACCCGGCCCCACCGCCACCAGCCCCCGCCCCATTACCTGCTCCGCCACCGCCCGGAACAGGCACGACCCGTCCTTGGCGACCAATTTCCGATACAAGCCCAGTTTCCGCAGATAAGCATCCATAGGCGTCGCGTCCTCGCGGGGCCCCGCGCCGCCCTGGTCCCCGCCGTCCGGGGCGCCGACGGCCGCCTCCATGTTGCCAGTCCCGCTGCAGGCCAGGCGCGGCGCGGGCTAGCCCCACATGGCCGCGCCGCCGGCTCCTCTACGCCCCGGCCTAGGACGGGCGGCGGCTCTGACTCGGGCTCGGCGGGCGGCAGGCGGCGACGGCGGCCCGAGGCGGCGGTCCGCGCTCTCCGCGCGCATAGGGGAGCCCTGCCTAATGCATGGCTGTGCGCACGCGGCCGCCTGCCGGGGGACCGCGCGTCCAGAACCGGGGAAATGTTAAAGAAAACCCGAGGGTGAGAAGTCACCTCCCGGCGGCCTTGCTGCCCTGCTCAGGACCCGCGTCGGGGTCGCCTTCCCCACAAGTTTCCTCGACCCCACGGTGGTGAGCGAGGAAACCCCGCCCCCCGCGCGCGCGCGAGGCCGGCTCAGGTGAAGCGAGGCCTGCGTGCCCCGCGCTCCCTGCTCCTGCAGCCGAGGAAGCCGAAAGAAAAAGACGCGGCCTTTCGTCTCCCCACCTCGCAGGAGGGCGCCGGAGGGGCGGGGAGCGGGTGGGGGAGCCCGGCGGAGGGCAGCTCCTCCGCAGCCCAGAATTTGTTTTCGCTTTCGGCCCGACAGCGGAGAGGATGCCGGGAGCTGTAGTTTGGGCAGCGGCAGGAAGTCGGCTTGCGATAGGCGGGGACGCGCCGCCGGCCTACGCGGGGCAGACGCCCGGAAGGCAAGCGGACTACAAATCCCTGCAGCGCTGGCGCCGCCGGAGCCGGCTTCGCGCTTCCCGGGCCCAGCGTCTGCGAGCAGGCCGAGGGACTCCGCGAGCCGACGCGCAGTGACTGCGCGCGCCTCGTCGCTCGCCGGGCCGCCCACTACGCCGCGGGGCCGCGGCAAGTGCGCGCGCCCTGCCTGCGTGGAGTTGCCAGGGACACGGCGGCGGCCGGGCCGGCCCTTTGTGTATTCCCAAACAGAGGGCGCACCTGTCTGCACCCCTCCCCCCGGCCTCCTCCCCGGGCGTTTCCATGGAGGTGGCTTTAACGGCTTAAGCAGAAAATAGAGCTAATGGGCCAAGGCTGCTGGAACTGGCCTGGTGCTGAACGACACCGACTGTCCATAAATCAACCGTGAACTGCTGATTCCTCATAGAAATTCCAAGTACAGCTCACGCGCTGTGGCGAGATGATGCCTTTGCCACAGACATGTTTGTTCACCCTGCCGCCGTCGCGGCGCACCCCGGCACCAAGAGATGCCACTGGTCAGAACATGTTAGAATTTTTTGTACTTAAAAATGTCATCTTGTAATTGCTTGATAGCATGCTGGTCTTGCCAAGGTTTCCACCAGTGCTTGAGGCTTCCAGCTCGACTTCCCACCCTGTGATGTGGAATGACAAGTTCTGTTGAGAACCCCGCATGTTTTGGCGACTCCAGAGTTTTATTTTGCGAAAATTCAACAGCAGATCTTGTCCTGATTATTTAAATACATGGCTAGTCATCATATGTACTCCAGTCTTGAGACCCAGGTGGAGTTGGGGAAGAAGGAAAAAGTGGGACGTTACTGTAGGTTTAGACGTGTAGCCCAAGAAACTCTGGAATGGGGATAAGGCAGGCCAGAGGGTGAGAGTTCAGCGCAAATTACTGAAAACTAGAAGTTCGTTTTCAGTCCTTTTCGGTGCAAGCAATTAGTGTGACTTGTGTGTTCAGACTGGAGCTTCTCAATTTGATTTCTTAATGTTTAAGGATTCTATTTCCAATTGTGCTGTTTTTAGAGAATGCAAAAGTTATTGTGACCTAAATAAATGTTCTTGTCCCAATATTAACTTTTGTACATGTTGTAGAGAAATAAACATTATGGAATTGTTTAGGAAAATCTAGTTTCAAGTCAAACCTGTTGCTTTTTTTTTTTTATCCTCACCCAAGGACATTTTTCCATATTTTGTTCAGATGGAGTGGGAGGGAGAGAGAAACATCGACATGAAAGGGGCATATCTAGTGGTTGCCACCCGCACAACTCAACTAGGGCCGGTTGCCACCCACACAACCCAACTAGGGCCGGAGACAAACTGCAACCGAGGTACATGCCCTTAGTGGGCACGAACCCGGGTCTCTCTGGACCGTAGGCTGACGCTCTAACTAACCGCTGAGCCAAACTGGCCAGGGCAAACCTGTTGCTTTTTTCAAAAATATTTACACTGTATATACTTCTCATTCCACTCAAAGAGAATTACTGAGATTTGACACTACTTACAACATGGCTTGCCTTTTAAACCCACAGAATTCAAGATAAAGTAACATAGAGCTTGAATACTGAATTCCTCAAATGAGTAGATACTATAGTGTTCATTTTAAAAGCAACAGACTTTCTGACATGCCAAGAAAACCACGCCTTTCCTAACATTTATTTTAATATTTCCTCAATAAGAATTTCTGAAGCTAATTTCACTCAGTGTGTATTTATGAGAAATATACTGTTTATATCATGCTATGATTGCATTGCTGAATATATTGAGGATATATTAGAAACATTCCCAGGGACTTCACATTTGGAATTTTATGAACCCTTGTCACCGAAAAGTTCATGATAAAATTGCTTTAATTTTTTAAGGTCATTCAAATAAAAGGGTTGCTCATTTTTATATGCACAATAACTTCATTTTGGGTGGCTAATAATGTTTCAAACATATTTTGTTTTAAAGCTTATCTGTATTTTTAATCTTATTTAAATGTGCTTCCATATTTTTTAATAAAGTAATATCACCATATTCAAGAGAAGGAAATCTTAATTCTACAGTATCTTTATTTCCCATTGCAAAAATTTAATTCACCAACGAAATAGTATAATCAAAATAAGAATGGACATAATTATTGCAATAAGTATTCTAGTATAGACTCTGTTACTAGAGTCCACTTTCAGTATTTTTTTAAATGAATTTTTAAATACTAAGAAAACAGAGGCCTTTATCAGAATTCATCAGAATTATGTTATCTTATAAAAATGCGGGTAGTTATCAGAAGTATTAGAAGAATAACACATTCCCGGTTTTTTTCTACACTTGATGTCTTGGCAAAATTACTTATTCTCACTCCTGCTGAATGAGTGCGGAACAGCCTTACTTTAAACTGGCTGCTTCTGCTTCCAAAATTAGAAGTAAAACACCTGTTGTATCTGACTCTGGGCCTGTTTAAGGAAATCCTTTAGGTATTTTGAGACCTAATCCAAGACAGCCCCTCTGTATGCCAAATCCCCAAATATAGCTTGCTGTTCAGACAACCTTAAAGGATCCTATGCCTTTATTTTTATTTATTTTTATTTTTTTCTTTATTGATTTTAGAGAGAGAGAGAGGGAGAGAGATAGAAACATCAATGAGAGAAAACATTGATTGGCTGCCTCCAGCATGCCCCACACTGGGGATTTGCCCCACAACCTGGGCATGTGCCCTGACTGGGAATCGAACCAGCGACCTCTTGGTGCATGGGTCGATGCTCATTCAGTGAGCCACATCAGCCGGGCAGGATCCTATGCCTTTAAACTGGACCAAAACTTATAGGAACTCACTTACTTTCAAAGAATCTTTACTTGTTAGAATTAACTTCTGAAACTTTTCAAGAAACCACATCTGAAATGAAAATGTTCATGTCTATGGCCGTACCACCCTGGATGTGCTCAATCTCATCTGATCTTGGAAGCTAAGCAGGATCAGGCCTGGTTAGGACTTGGATGAAATGAAAATGTTCGCTCTGACCAATAAAAGTGAAGAACTCTTTAAACAGAGACATTTTAGTCAAATAAGACCTGAAAGATTCAATATTCCCGAGAACCTAATGAAATGAAATCAAATTCATCTTATGCAAATGGGTCAACTAACTTTTTTTCCTTGTACACAATCAGTACCTCAAGTCTGTTTGCTCTGAAAAACTTTAGAGGTAACAATTGTACTGGATGGAGTTTTTTGTTTTAAAACAATTATAGGTTTTTCTGGAGATTTTTTTCTTTTTCAATAAAAGTTTAGATATTGTGGTAGCCAGCTTCTTAGATGACCCCCAACGATCCCTGCCTCCAAATATTCACACTCTTGTATAATTGCCCCTACCTCTTACGGAGGTTGGTCTTCATGATCAGTAGAATACAGTAGAGCATGTCACACCTTTTTTTTTTTCTTTTGGTATATGTCACTTCTGAGATTAGGTTACAGAAGACACTTTTGGCCTTTAGGTTGCTCTCTTACACTCCCTCTCTCATGGGTAAGTGACTTCAGTGGAAGCTAGTTGCTATAGGTCCTAAGCAGAATTTCAGAGAGGTTCTCTTGGTAGAAAACTAGACACCTCCTGCCAACAGCCATGTGAGAACTTTGAAGCAAATCCTCCAACTAGGTCAAGCTTTCAGATGACTGCAGCCCTGGCTGAAATCTTGACTGCAACCTCATGAGAAACCTGGAGTCAGAATCATCCAGCTAAGCTCAGATTCTTAAATCTGAGATTCTGAGATTCTTGCCCTCAAAAACTGTATGAGACAATACACACGTTATATTAAGCACCTAAGTTTTGGAATAGTTTGTTATACAGCAATCAATAAGTAATTCAGATATGATACTCCATTTTTCTCTTTACTAAATAGACATAAAATGTATTTCAATAATTCACCAAAATAACCACTAACTTAATATCCTTAGTGGTTTTATTAGTTCTCTAGTAAAGTAGCCAGTAAGTGGATTTTTTAAATATAAAATCCTTGACTAAATAGAGTAACTTAAGAATGTTTGAACTTTATTACCACATCTTATTTTGGTCTGCTTTCTATAAAAATTCAAGTAATTGAATCCTACAACACCAGTTGACTATTATATAGCTTCACTATTGATCTAAGACTGAGACTTTGCAAATTGCTTTTCCCAGACTCCTTTACCATCTGGCTGAATTCTGCTGTTAAGAAGCACTAGACTAGAGTGATCTTAGAAGGTGGGGGAAAGAGGGAAGAAACAGCTTTCCTGATTCCTGCTGATCCAGACTGTGTAGGCCTGGCTTTCAGCACCCCCAGGTCCACCTC